CGCGCCGCCGCCGCCGTCGTCGCAGCGTCCCCGCCCCGCTCCACCCCCATCGCGGCGCCCTGAGCTCACCCGCCGCTGGTGCCCGGCTCCCCGCGGGCAAGGAGCGGAAGCCGCTCTCCGGAGGCGGGCTCCGGCGCCTCCGAGCCCGGCAGCCGCGGCAAAGGCGAGGCGCGGGTCGGGGGCGCCCGGCGGACGCCCGCTACTCCGGGCGGGCGGGCGCCCCTCGCGGGCAGCCCGGCCGGGAGAGGCGGCCGTGGCGGCCGCGCTCGGGCGCCCCTCGCGCAGCGCCCCATGCCCGTGTGGTGCTGCCGCTGCTCCCTGGCCGGTCATTTCAGGTGACTTCCCCGCCGAGGACGGGAGGGGAGCGGGCGGGGGATGGATGGCGCGCCGTCGGGCCCCGCGACCGGGTCCGGGCCGGCGTGAGGGCGAGCGCCGGGGCCGCCGACTCCCACCGCCTCGGCCGCCCTTGCGGGGGGTGCGGGGGGCCTTGTTACGAGGACCCTATGAGGTTGTCCCTATTTCCTCGCCCTGGTCTGGGCCGGTCACGGGACTTCAGGACCGGCTAGGCCCGGGCTGAGTCGGTTTCGGCGAAGGGAGAGTTCCAAGTAGCACAAAGTTTTAGTGGAGGGCTCCACGAAGGACCTTCATTCTTTAAAAAAAAAAACAAAAAAAAACTTAAAAACGGATTCTAATAACATAATTTGGTGGGTTGAAGGAAGGTAAGGAACTACATTTTAGTGTCGTCATCTAGCTACCAGTAGGTGCCTCGTTAAGATGTTAGTCGTTGAAAGCCATGTACGTTGTAGACATTTGAGAAATGTAGCGATTTTACACTCAAATGATGGGGAACGTTTTTAGGGGGGATAAAGATCATACAATTTAAAAATCATGTTTTCTAGGTCTAGCACTCTTGGCCGATACATCAATTGTAGGAGGTAAGACTAAAGATACTAGAAGCTGGCTTTAATCGTAGGGTGAAGAAATGCTAAGATGACCAAAGACTTGACGACCTTGCTTTGTAAATACGAATGTTCCAGAATAATGATGTGTAAGACTTCTTTTCTGGTAAAATACGAAACTCTGATCAAGAGTTCTTAAATTGGGAGTCATAGATAGAACTTAGGTTGTCCGTGAACTAACTAGGTGGGAAAGAAGCTATATTATTTTCACGAAACTTTAAAAACTAGCATTTCCTTCAATTATGGATATAAGCAACAAATCACAGTAGTATTTGTGACTGTCATCAGTGGAAATCACGAATATTTTCTTATCACCATTACAGGTTGCAGATATCTAGAAATTCTGTTTGTGCTTATCGTTTATTCACAATTATGGTAATTATGACACCGCTGAATTTGTGAGTGCAGTGGAGAAGCACATATTCATATATGTCATTTTTTAAAAGTAACTGCCTTTTAATTAAATTGGTTTGCCTGTAAATCCTCTGTAAATCTCTGTATGTATTTGAGAACCTTCAGAGAAGAGATCCAGAGGCTTTACCAAATTGTATAAGGGGTGAAAGGCACAGAGAAAGTTCAGAACTCTTGTTGTAGCAATAATCCAGGCTTGTCCAGCTTCTCATTGAGTTTTGTATGAGTCTTTAGATTCTGGATAGTTTTAAAACATTGTTTTATGTCATAAAATTACTTGATTTTAACATTTAGGCAGATGAGTTTGTTAACTACTGTACTAAGAGACAGTGGCTTGAGAGTTTCAGATTCACTTTGGAAAGCTTTAGAAAATAGGTTCCCCTAGTGATAACTTATTAAACTAAAGCCTCTGAGAAACTAACATGCCTTTCAGAAAATACTGTCTAAAAGCCATTTGACACCTTTTGGTATACAGTGTGTGATCCTTATCCTTTTGACCAATCCTAGATAGTAAATACTGTATGCTTACTGCTGTGCACAGAAATTTGGAGTAGGGAGTGAAAACAAAGCTTTTGCTATCTCTTAGTCTTGAGGGACAGAAAAAAAACCAGCCTGCTAGACAAAAGATAAACATAGATTAACAAAACACACTTTCATTGCAAAAACAGTTCTGTTGGGTGGGAGGGGAACAACTAGAGGGATTGATTACATCTTCTATTCTACAGAGGTGTCCTTCTATCCCCCTCCCCCAAAAAAGTTGTTTTTTGTGGTTGAAATGTAAGATGCAGTTCTGTTCTAAAATCTAAAAATAAAAAGAAGCAAGTTTGCCAGTTCCTTAAAGAACATGATTCTAATTTCCTAATGCTATTTATTCTTTGAGCATCAATAGTAACACATATTTTAAAACAGGTTGTGGCAACAACTACATCTTGGGGCTTGTTGCATGTCTGAGTGGTTAGGTATTGTCACAGAACTGCCCACTGTCTTTTCAAAGTAGAAAACCTCATACTTCCTGTTCTGGAAGATGAAGATTGTGGCTGACTTCATTTGTGCCTTTAGAACCTGCTTTTCATGTGGTGGTATAAATTTGGTAAAATTTAGCATTACGCTTCTAAAGACTTATATAAACTCAAATAGTAAAGCATTTCATTTTAGTTTGAGTTGCCATTTTAAGAAGTATTGCTATGATATGGAAAAGGTCTTTCTGTTATTCAGGTAGTATGTCTACATCATTCTTTTACATTTGTTCTGAAACTTTAAACTGTAATGTTTCAAACACAAAAATTGGAAGGGCTCTAAAAGCATCTTAAATGTCGAATAATATTTTGTCTTGATGTCCAACAATAGTGTATTTTTGCATATGTGTTATATGCTGTTCTTTACTTTTTCCTAAATGCAATGCAAGTGTACATATTTCCAATTTAGTTAGTACTCTACATAAGAAAAAGTAGATTTTTATTACTCAAAGTAAATTCTTAAATAGAACAAATGTTCATCAAATTGGAAATCTTAAGTGGAGATTAACACTGTTTATAGTCCTGTGATATAGTATGCTTATGCTATAAAACATGTATAACAATACTAAATTTATAACTTAGGCTCTGAATTTTTTTTTTTTTTTGAGTTGGAGTCTCACTCTTTCGCCCAGACTGGAGTGCAGTGGCCGCTCCCGGCCACTGCAGCCTCGACCTGCTGGGCTCCTGCGATCCTTCCACCTCAACCTTCCAAGTAGCTGGAACTATAGGTGCGCGCTACCACACCCAGCTAATTTTTTGATTTATTGTAGAGATGAGGTCTCGCCCAGTTGCCCAGGCGGGTCTCGAACCTGCGGGCTTGGGCAGTCCACTCACCTCAGCCTCCCAAAGTGTGATTACAGGCTGAGCCACCGAGCTCAGCTAGGCTCTAAATTTTTTAGAAAAATAGTTCCTAGTAGGCTTTTGTTTCATTGTTGCTTTATGTAAAACCAGTGAACCATGCATTTGTTATTGGTTTCCTTCCCTTGCTTGTTTTTCATATCTCTATGTTAAACCACTATTAAATTTATTACATAACAGGCAAGTTAATTGCAAATAGTTTGTCATACAAACTGATTCACCAATGACTACTTAAAAATCAGAACAAGCCAGGCTCGGTGGCTCAGCCTGTAATCCCATGCCTTTGGGAGGCTGAGGTGAGTGGATTGCCTGAGCCTGCGGGTTCAAGACCCGCCTGGGCAGCGAGACCTCATCTCTACAATAAATCAGAAAATCAGCGGGGCGTGGTATTACATGCCTGTAATTGTGGCTACTTGGAAGGCTGAGGTGGAAGGATTGCCGGAGCCCAGCAGGTCGAGGCTGCAGTGGCCACTCCCGGCTACCTCACTCCAGTCTGGGCGACAGAGTGAGACTCCAACTCAAAAAAAAAAAAAAAATCAGAACAAATTACCTATACTGTGTAAGTTTAGATATACTAATATGTAGAAAATTTAGATAAGCTAAAATTTTGACTCTTCTTTCTCAAGTCTTGGGACAGACCAAAGTCAGATTGCCTGAGGGACACACACACCTAAACTACTAGACCTAATAAATAAATTCAGCAAGATACAAAATCATCATAAAAAAATGAATTGTATTTTTATATGTTAACATAGAACAGGCTGAAAATGAAATTAACAAAATAAGACCTTTATAATAACATCAAAAAATGGAATACTTAGGAATAAATTTAATAGAAAGATTCAGTGCTTATACACTAAAAGCTATGAAGTGTTGTTGAAAAAAATAAAGATCTAAATGAATGGTAAGGAATTTTATGTTCATGGTTTGAAAACTTAATATTATTAAGATGATAATACTCCTAGAATTGATCTATAGATTGAATGCAGTGCTATAAAAATTGTTGGTGCCTGTTTTTGCACAAATTGACACACATTTCATATGGCATTGCAGGGAACCTAAAATAGACAAGACAGTCTTAAATAAGATGAACAAAATTAGAGGACTCACACTTCCTGATTTCAAAATTTACTGCAAAGAAACAGTAGTCAATACACTGTAGTGCTGACATGAAGATCAACATATAGATCAATGGAATCGAATTGAGAGTCCAGAAATCCTTGTATTTATGGTGAACTGATTTTTGATGAGGGTCCTGGGACATTAGGGAAAGAATAGTCTCTTCAACATGTTGCTAGGACAGCTGGATAACTTCAAACAAAAGAATGAAGTTGTACACTTAGCTCACACCATATATAAAAATTGAAATAGATCAAATACCTAAAGTTAAGAACTAAAATTACGAAACTCTTAAAGTTTTGGAATAAATCATTGTGACCATAGATCTGGCAGTGGATAGATATAAAAAACCTAGCAACAAAACAAATGACCATGGACATGTGACATCAAAAGCCTACCAACAAGACAAATGAGACTTGATTAAAATTTAAAACTTATGTGATTCAAAGAACATCATCAAGAAAGTGAAAAGACAGTTCACAGAATGGAAGAGAATATTTCAAACCGTATATCTGAAAGGGACTTGTTTCCAGAAAATACAGAGAACTTTTAAAGCTCAATAATAAAAAAAAAACCAAATAGCCAAATTTTTAAAAATGAACAAAGGATTTGAATAGACATTAAGGAAAGCAGACATACACAAATAGCAGGTAAGCACTTGAAAAGATGCCTAACATTAAGGGTTAGTGACTAATAGTCATTAAGGAGATGCACATTAAAACTGCATTGAGATGCTGCTTCTATGATACACATACTAGGATGGCTAAAATAAAGGATAATAATAAGTGTTGACAAAGATGTTGGAGAAATTAGAATTTTCATATATTGGGAATGCAAAATGGTGCAGCCATTTTGGAAAACAATTTGGCAATTTTTCAAGATGTTACATGCAGTTTATGGCCAAGCCATTCCACTCCTAGGAATGTATCCTAGAGAAATGAAAACATTTGTCCACACAAAAACTTACACATGAATGTTCATAGCAGCATTGTTCGTAATAGCCAAAGAGTAGAAACAACCAATATGTTCATCAGCTGATGAATGAATAAACAAAATGTGGTCTGTCCACACAATGGAAGATTATTCAGGTACCAAAAGTAGTTAAGTACTTATACAAAGTGAGTGAACCTTGAAAACATGCATATGTTAAGTGGAGGAGCCAGACACAAAGGCCACATATGAAAGGTTTTAATCATGTGAAATGTCCAAAATAGACAAATCCACTAGGATTGAAATTAAGTTAGTGATTGTTAGTGACTGGAGAGAGGGGAACATAGAGAGTGACTGCTAATGGATGTGTATATTTTTGAAGTGATAAAAATTTTCTGGAGTTAATGGTGTTGGTCACAAAGCAATATACTGGAAACCAGAGTTGTATACTTCCAAAGGATGAATTTTATATGTGAATTATATCTTATTAAAGTCTAATTCAAGTCATTTAAAATTTTCTTCCCAAGGCTCCTTCTATTTACCTTGTATTTACCTTGTTCTAGACCCAGATCAAATAACCTGTTGTCTTACTCATGCTTTTTGTGCTCTTAAATGCTAATTGTCTTCTTAACAGAAGCCCAACAGAGAGCATACTCTTTTTTCCCCTTTAAGTATAAACTGAGAGAACAAGTACAATGTCGTAAAAAGACATAATCAATATTTAGAATCAATATTGCTTATAAAAAGATATAGTCAGTGTTTAGAATTGATAGCTGTGATAAAATTCCAAGGCTTGAGACATCTTGACTTAGAATATCAAATGCCTCCAAATAATGACATACAAAAATTGGTAGTATCTTTAAGTGGAAGTGATTTGGAATTTCTTTAAATCTACACTCCTCTTCTATGGTTTGTCCTGAAGGAATTTGAATATTAAGTATTTCATGGCATTTATTTGTAGACTTAGGAAACTGGACAATGCATTTTAGAATATTGGATTGTGTTTATAAAATCAAGTATGGTAGTAGCTGCTAAAGAAAAAATCTTTATTTACAGTCATTTTCAGAAAATCCTAAATTTGCTTTTTGCAATGTACAGGATATCAGGTAATATTTAATCTGTCTACTAAAAATATGCACTCTTAAGTTGACTTTTGACACATTGCATATTCTCCCCTGCCCTTATTTAAATGTTAACTATTTAAATTTTGAAGAAGAAAACCTCTTTGTAGTTATCAAAAACTTAGATTATCATTTTTATTAATTATTTCCCAGGTTATGCATTTAGAACCAATAATATTTGAGGTAGGGATATCTAGGAGAGACTGAAGATGATGTCTGCATCTCCTGAAAAAGAATGTTGGCCTTTACAGTAGCAATTACATTAATCGGGCCCAATTAACTTTGATCAGAAACCTCCAAAGGGAGATGAGAACCTATCCTTTGCATAAACTTTCAAGAAATATCAGGGACAGGCCAGAGTATAAAACACTCTTGTTGAATTCAGTTGCCCAGAGGCAGAAGCAGACACAGGCAAGACAGCAGATAGCATCGATCTGATCAGAAGCAGAAGTTGGAATGATTCAGAAAGGGATGGATTGAGCATAAGACACTTCCTCCCAGGAGTAGGCTTGCAATGTGAGGAGGGATTTCCCTTAGCTGCCTGATGGGTATCTATTTGGTCACAAGGGGTCATGCAAGAGGAGTCCAAATATTTGGGATAAAGGTTACTTTCTTTGGTTCATGAAAGCTCTTGGTGTATCTTGAGGAACTCTTTCTATTCTAGGTTAAACTGCAACTCTTAAAGTTACAAGGAAGGAGATATCTCTATCTCTGTTTAATTCTATTTACCAACCTCCTCTGGGATCAGTGAGGTGGCTTTAGTCTTGTGAAATAACTGATCCACTTCATTTTTTTTTTTTATCATTTGGGAATATATAGTAATAGACACATCCACTAGTAGGTACTCAGTTTAATACTTCCAGACATTGTAACTGTTGCTGACTTAATGAAGGTAAAAATTAATTTTGGGGGATTCTGTTCTGAAGTAATCTATAGTATAATGAAGAACACTAATCTTGTTCAGTGGATATGCCATTTATTGTATGAACATGTCAGAATGCTAAAATTAGTTTCCAGAAAAGCAATTGGGTAGAAAGATTGGAAATCAACATTAAGATCTTCCCTTATTTCAGGCTGGGCGTGATGGCTCATGCCTGTAATCCCAGTACTTTGGGAGGCTGAGGCAGAAGGGTTGCCTGAGCCCAGGGGTTTGAGGCCAGCCTGGGCAATTTGGCGAGACCGCGTCGCTACAATAAATAAATAAATAGCTGGGATGGTGGCTCACGCTTGCAATTCCAGCTACTTGGACGGCTGAAATGGAAGCATTTCCAGAGCCCAGCAGGTTGAGGCTGCAGTTGCTGTGAGCATGCTGCTGCACTGCAGCCTGGGCAACAAAGTGAGACTCTTACTCAAAAAAAAAAAAAAAAAAGAACTTTCCTTATTTTAATATGTTTTGAGAATAAAAATAAAAATCTATAAATCTCATTTCCTTTACTAAAATGCACAATTTGCCGGCCTCGGTGGTTCAGCCTGTAATCCCGCGCCTTTGGGAGGCTGAGGTGAGTGGATTGTCTGAGCCTGCGGGTTCGAGACCCGCCTGGGCAGCGAGACCTCATCTCTACAATAAATCAAAAAATCAGCCGGGTGTGGTGGCGCGCGCCTGTAATTCCGGCTACTCGGAAGGCTGAGGCGGAAGGATCGCCGGAGCCCAGCAGGTCGAGGCTGCGGTGGCCGGGAGCAGCCACTGCACTCCAGTCTGGGCGACAGAGTGAGACTGCGGTGGCCGGGAGCAGCCACTGCACTCCAGTCTGGGCGACAGAGTGAGACTCCAACTCAAAAAAAAAAAAAAAAACCAAAATGCACAATTTATATAAGTACAGTAAGCTTTTCATAAAATATGTGACTATATATTGTCTTTAATGTACTTGCCTTTTAATAAATGAGAAGCTGGCCATTCCTGAGATCTCAAAGAATTATTAAATCCTCAATACAATACTGTGTCTTTGGTGATTAAAGAGAGCTTCTTATTTAGTAGGGACTTGCCTGCAAGATATTAATAGAGCAATAAGCAATAGGATGTTTGGCCTTCAAGGTGATATTGGTTGACATGTAGCTAAGACACTAATTTGAATACATCAATCGGAAAGATGTCCTTTTCTCCTTTTATGAACTATTTAATATTTTATGGCCTAAGTAACCTCTGAGTAAAGACCGACTTTTATAAACACTATATTGATTGTATCTTTTGTTTTCCTTTTTTTTAAAAAAAGAAACTATAGTGACACTGAAACTGAAGGAGAGATTTTTAATTCCCTAGTACAATATTTTGGTGATAATTTGGGACGAAAAGTTAAAGCAATGCCATTAGTTGAAGAGAGTTCTTTACTTGAAGATTCATCTGTGACTTTGCCAGTGGTAATAATAGGTAAGTTACTGTATTTTATCTCTTAAAATTACAGTTATGACTCTTACCACTTTTATAAATATACAGTGAGATAGTACAGCCTCTTAAGATTGTACTGAAAAGTATTCTTAGATTATTTGATATGCTAAAATAACTAATAAACCACATCTTTGGAGAAAGTAACTGGTTTATCTGATGTTAGAGTCTGTTAGAATGTATTATCTTTTCCTTGAAGAACTTATAGTATTATTTTAAAACATTACCTATCAGTTGTGTTAGCTATATGACAGTGTCATGGTAATTATAATAACCAATATTGTTAGAGCTCTTTCTAGAGTATTCGATGTATATTTTTAGGTAATACCTTAGAACGCTATAGCCTTCTGATATTGGTAGGGCAGATACAGAAAAACCGACTCAAGAGGTTGGGTTACTTGTGCAAGTTAGTAACCAAAGCTCAATTAACAATGACATTATAGTAATCTAAGGTAATGTTTATAATTACCTTAACCATAACATTACTATGATATTTCCTTTGTACCACTTCAACAGATAGGCGTATGAAATATTACAGATTAAACTATTAATAAAACCTAATTTAGAATTATAAGTTGTATTGCATGCATTTAATTACTTGTCATGTATATTTTCTATCTAATATATAAACTACAGTGTTAAACTAAGCCAAAGGAGAGAATTACAGAGCATAGGAAATTTGATATGGCATACAACTTCCTGAGTTTCTTTGATAGCTTGTTTCAAAGTTAGCAGAAAGGGGATAACATTTGTGTACTCTAGCATATGAGAGATACTATAAAGGAGGAAAAGGAGGAGGACAACAAGGTTGCTCTTCTATATAGTTCTGCTTTAGGGAATATGGTATAATAGAGATCTAGATAGATCAGAGGGCTCATATATTGTTTCATTTTCCCTGTGTCCAACCCTGGCTTTCCATCCTGAATGTCTTAGAATGAGTAGAGGAACCTATTTTCTTGTCTAGCTAGGTTTTGAGAGGTTTGGAAAAGGAAAAACTGCCTTCATTTGCACCTGCCCACCTCATCCCTCCCCCAAAAATGTATCCCTGTTTTGCCTTAGCTAGCCCATGAGTAACCAACCTAATATATAGGGACAGCGTAGATAAAGAACTATTTCCTTAATATATGTACTGGTTTTCTGTTGCTATTGTAACAAACTACCACAAGCTTTAGACAACATAACTGTATTATCCTACTGTTCTGTAGGTCAGAAATTCAACATGGGTCTTAATGGGCTAAAAGAAAGGTGTTGGCCGCACTGTGTTACTTTCTGGAGGCTCTAGGAAAGAATCTGTTTTCTTATCTTTTTCAGTTTTTAGAGGCTGTTCACATTCCTTTGTTCCTGGCTCCTTTATGTATCTTCAAAACTCATGATGATATTTCTTTCTTCATACATAACATAGTCATGTTGCCCTCACTCCACAACTGGGAAAAGTTCTCTATTTTAAGGACTTGTGATTAAATTGTGTTCATCTGGATAAGCGAGGCTATTCTTTATCTCACCGTCATTAAAAACATCTGTAAGTCCTTTTGCTGTATAGGATAACATTTGCAGGTTCCAGGAGTTAGGACCCGAGACATCTTTGGGGATAAGGACAGATTCTCCCTGCCACTGTATATTTCTCTGTGAATTGCCTGTTTGTATTCTTTGCCTGTTTTCTTTTGAATATATTGTATCTTTTTTGTTTTCAGGAATTTGGCTCTTTGCCTCAGATGCTAACTCCCCCATTTAGCACTTATTTTAATTAATAGATTTTGTTTCTCATAACAGTTTAGGCATACAGAAAAATGTAGCAGAAAGTACAGAGTTCTCTCTTATACTTCTTCTGTTCCCTACTTTGTTTCCCTTAGTATTAAAATTAACATCTTCAATTGGTGTGGTACATTGTTACAATTGATTAAACAGTATTGGTATATTATTAACTAAAAACTATAATTCACATTAGGGTTCACTCTCTGTGATACACAGTTCTGTAGGTTTTGCTGAATGTATACTGTTGTGTATCCACCATTATAGTTTCATACAAAGTAGTTTCACTGCCCTAAAAATCTGTGTTCCACTTATTCATACCTTCCCTCAGCCTGCAACCCCTAGCAACCACTTTTCTACTGTCGTTATAATGTTGTGTTTTCCAGAACGTTACATAATTAGAGTTGTACAGTATACAGCTTTGTAGACATCTTAGCATATGCACTTTGTGGTTCTTTTATGTCCTTTTGTGGTTTGATAGCTCATTTTGTATTATCACTGAATAATATCCTACTCTATAGCTGTAGTACAGTTTATTCATTCACCTTTTGAAGGACATCTTGGTTGTTCCAGTTTTTGACAATGATGAATAAAGTTGTTATAGAAACTCGTATGCAGGTTTTTGCATGAACATAAATTTTCAACTTATTTGAGCAAATACCTAGGAGTGTGACTGCTGGATCATATGGTAAGACTATGTTTTATGTTGTAAGAAACTACCAAACTGTCTTCCAATATGACTAGGTAATTTTGCATTCCCAGTAGCAATGAATGAACGCTCCTGTTGTTCCTCATCCTCGTCAGAATTTGGTGTGGTCACTGGACAAGCATTGTGGCTCACGTCTGTAATCCCAGAATATTGGGAGGGCAAGGCAGGAGGATTGCTTGTGTTCAGGAGTTTTGAGACTATCCTGGGAAACAATGCAAGATGTTGTATCTACAAAAAATAGAAAATCAGTGAGAGGTGGTGGTAAGCACCAGCTACTCAGGAGGCTGAGGTTGGAAGATCACCTGAGCTCAGGAGGTCAAGACTGTGGTAAGCTGTGATCATGTGATCTATATTTTGGATTTTAGCTATTCCAATAGGTGTGTCCTGGTATTGCTGGTATCGCATTGTTTTAACTTGCAGTTTCATAATGATGTATGATGTTTAGCTTCTTTTCATATGCTTATTTGCCAACTGTTTATTGTCTTTGGTGAAGTGTCTGATCAGGTCTTTTCCTTACTTTTTAATTGGGTTATTTGTTTTCTTATTCTGAGTTTTAAGAGTTGTATGTATATTTAGAGTATAAGTCCTATGTATTTTTTTCTAGTATATAACTTGTTTTTTCCTTCTCCTAGCATTATCTTTTGTAGAACAGAAGTCTTAAATTTTAATGATGTCCTACTAATAGTTTTTTTTTCTTTTATGTATTCTGCTTTTGGTGTTGTCTCTGAAAATTCATTACCAAACATAAGGTTACCTAGATTTTCTCCTAAGTTACCTTCTGAAAGTTTTATAATATTGTATATTACATTTAGGTCTGTGATCCAGGAGTTTTTTTGTTTGTTTGTTTTTGGTCAGTCCTTTGGGACTTTCTACTTGGATAATCATGTCGTTTACAAACATATATGAAAGTCAGTTGCTTTCCTATATAGCAGCAATGAACTAGTTGAATTTGAAATTTAAAAAATTGCTTACATTTGCACCAAAAAATTATATTTAGGTATAAGTCATATATAAGATCTATATGAGGGAAACCACAAAAGTCTGATAAAAAACATCAGAGAAGATCTGCATAAATGAAAAGATATGCCATATTCATGAACAGGAAGACTCAATATTGTAAAGATGTCAAAACAAGCAGTTGAGGGCCTTTAGAATAGAGTGGTAACATGACTGTGTCTTACCAAAACTTACCAGAATATAGTATGTGAAATGGTTTGAGAGTGAGTGAATCTTAGGAAGGAGAAATAGTAGACTTGTCTTCTAGGTGAAAGTCCAAGAGTGAGAATAGCAAAGACAACTGACTGGAAATAGGGGGCAAAATAGCTTTAGAACCAGAACTTAATTAACTTAGAGGTTTGCTAGTGCCATACTTTGAGATGTGATGGTGTTTGAAGGAAAGGGCACCATTAAATGAAGGGACTCATGGGTTTTCTTTTGAGCACATTGTGTTTAAGTTATTAGTGGATCAGTCAGGTAGAGTGAAAAATTAGTATGGAAATATGGGATATCATTTTGAGAAGGAAGTCAACCTAGAGAACTAGTTTGGGGGATTAGTAGCAAATATAATTGAAGACTTGAGTGGATGAGAATCCCAAATGAAAGCAGGCGAAAAGGCTGGGCTCAGTGGCTCGGCATATAATCCTAGCACTTTGGGAGGCTGAGGCAAGTAGATCGCCTGAGCCCTCAGGTTCAAGATCCGCCCAGGCAACTTGGTGAGACCTCGTCTCTACAATAAATCAAAAATTAGTTGAGTGTGGTAGTTCCGGCTTCGTGGAAGACTGAGACGGAAGGATCGCCAGAGCCCAGCAGGTTGACGCTGGGGTGGCTGTGAGTGTGACACTGCACTCCGACCTGGGTGACAGAGTGAGACTCAAAGAAAAGAAAATAGGCAAAAAGGCAAATGTCAGAGTCTTGTGAAACAGCTGGTTTTAAGAATTAGAGATGGAAGAGTTGTTAAGGGAGAAGAGCCATGTTCAAAGTAGGAGAAAAGCCAAGAAACAAGTGTATTAAGATGTATGACCTATCCCTTTCCACTTTCTATTTTTATTTTTTAAAATAGGAAATGGACCTTCAGGAATATGCCTTTCTTACATGTTATCAGGCTACAGACCATACTTATCATCAGAAGCAGTACACCCGAATACAATCTTGCATGCTAAATTAGAAGAAGCAAGACATCTTTCCATTGTTGATCAGGTATCATTTCTTACATGTCACTTTTTACAGTTTTTTAATGCTGAAATAGTATTTAGTTTTTATTTATGTAAGCATTATTTCTTAGTTGAAAATCTTTTATTCTAAACAATAACCTTATATCATCTTTATTTTAGGTTCATAAATATAGTTGGCAGGATTACTTTTATTTATTTTCTTAAATTTATTAGAGCAGAATTTCCCAAGTTATTTCCTGATGGAGTTTTAATAGATGCTCTATGCTCAAATAAGTTTGGGAAGTGCTACTTTTTATTATTGGAACATCACCATAGATATTAGTATATTAAAGCCATCTTCAAGTTTTACAGTTTTAGGATCTGGCTAGATATGTTAAAATCCAGCCTTCCCTCTATTTATTTGACCAAATAATCTATTAAGATCTCAAGTAACATCAGTGTTCTGTATCGCACTATCTGGAAAATGCTGAATGAGAGTAATGGCCTTCACTGTTGTTATAAAAACTGTTCTGGTTTTCAAGCTGTCTTCCTTTTTTTAAAAATTCAGGATTTAGAATACTTGTCTGAGGGCCTTGAGGGCCGATCGTCCAATCCAGTTGCAGTACTTTTTGACACACTTCTTCATCCAGATGCCGACTTTGGTTATGATTACCCATCTGTTTTGCACTGGAAATTAGAACAACATCATTATATTCCTCACTTAGTTCTTGGTAAAGGTCCACCTGGTGGGGCTTGGCATGTGAGTATTTTTTTAGCATTTTTGTGTATGTTAATTATATGTTGGTAAGACCAACTTGATTTTTTAGCATTATGATAATACTGTTATATATGATGTTTATCACATTTTTATATGAGAAGACTTTTAATGCTGTTCAGTTAGTTAAGTATGGGTTAATTACTAGTAGCAGTAAGTCAAGTCAGATTTGATTATTGATACAATCTCAGGATAACCATTTCTCTACTCTCTTTTAAAACTCATATAGAAAAATACTTTAGGGCTGTTTTACATAATAAAATTAAAATTCACTTATTCACTTTAGAATTTGCAAGATCTCACACAGCCTTTCAAGCCAGTATTCATAATTTTCCCACATTTTCAGAATCGTAAGTGAAAAATATTTTGTAAAAGAGATTGTATTAATCTGCTTGGTGACTGTAACAATATCGTAGACTGGGTGGCTTAAACAACAAACATTTATTGTTTGGAGGCAGGAGAGTCTAAGATCAAGGTGCCAGCCAATTCAGTTCCTGGTGAGGCCCATCTTCCTGACTTTCAGATAGTTGCCTTCTCACTGTGTCCTCATATGACAGAGAGAGAACAGTTTCTCTTTCTCTACTTATGAAGCCACTAATTCCATTATGAGGGACCTACCCTCATGACTTCATCTAGCCCTAATTGCCTCCCAAAAGTCCCATCTCCAAATACCATCCTGAGGGGTTAGGACCTCAATATAAAAATTTCCCGGGGGTCACAATTCAGTTCTCAGCAGAGGTTAAGCCAGAGAACCAGTGCATTTCATTAGGGTGCCAGTAACTAATACTTATTCTTCACTCCTGTGTCCTTAGCAGTTAACGCAGTCTCTAGTGTAAAGTGAATGTTCATTTGATGTAATAGATGTTAAATAATTTAGTTTGCTATATTATGAATTATAGACCTCCTGGAACCTTAATATATTACATATTGAACTTTTAGTACAAATTTCAGCTAGCATTTGTGCAATATTATATATCTAAAAAGGGTTGTTTATATTTATCAAATGACTGTTTCAGAATATCGGGACCGTCCTAGATTAAATATACCACTGATTCCTTTTTAAATCTTAATTCTCTTAATGATAATGAGTAGCGGCTACCAAATTATCTGTGTCTTTTAACTTGTGTGTTTTTTTAACTTTTTAATATCAACTTTGTTTAAGCATAATTTATTTCCAATAAGCTACATCTATTTAAACTATGTAATGTAATGAGTTGTGACAAATGCCTATAACTGTGAAACCCCCAATACAAGGTAAAAAATGATTTTGTCACACCCAGTTTAAGTGTTTAAATTTGCTCTATTGATGAGTAACTTCCTGAATAAAACTATTTTTTTGCAGTAGCCATAATGCGTTTGGGGGTGAGGAGGGCATTTAGACTGCCTCAGCTAAATTCCTGAGGTTTTATTGTACTTAAATTTTTCTTCTTAGAAGAATGTGCAGGCAATAATTGATCTCCTTGTTACTTCATTTTTTCCTGTTATATGTAGACATGTTAAAATATAGATATACTTTGATTACAAAAACACATTTGAGTCATTGGTAAAGCTTGAAATACCTAAAAATTCCTGGGTTTTTTTTCAGGCATGCATTCACTAGAATAGGGATATAAATAAATAATATTTGAGCTGTGATCCACTTGTCAAGCATCACTTCTGTGAAGGTTCCTGACTTTCCCAGACATAAGTATCTGATCCTAAATTGTGTGTTGTACCTTACCTTTAATCTTAACTGTACTTGTCTGTAGTACTGTCTGTTTATATGGCCATCTTCCCTGCCATGCTTTACATACATCCTGGTTAACCTTAGTGGTTATTCAAGATGTAAGCTCCTTAAGTCATCTGCCCACTCTCATATACTCATCTCCATATAGTTCCCTTCTCCTCTTGTTCTCAGTTTCCCACCACTCTCTTCCCTTCCAAATTTTATATGCTCTCTTGAACCCAGTTAGTGATAAATAAGCTTTCCTACTTCCTTAATCATTTCAGGCAGATGCTACGTCTATTCCCAAGTTGGCTAGTGAGGTTGGTGTTCTCTTTATTCCCTTTGCGCTTGTGTAAAAACCCCTGTTCCTTTGAACAGTACATGTGATTTTCTAGCTTTTCTGCCATTCCAGACCGTCTCCATCAATTACTAAAACTGTGGCACCTAACTCATGATTTTCCATTACATTTCCAATTTTATTATAATCTTGCATAACTTTGCCTCCACATGCATGACACAGAACTGACATCTTAAACCAGGGGCCCCCAACCCCTGGGCCATGGACCAGCACCAGTCCATGGCCTGTTAGGAACCAGGCCACACAACAGGAGGTAAGTGGCAGGCAGCCTTCCCCCATTGCTCACATTACCGCCTGAGTTCTGCCTTCTGTCACATCAGTGGCAGCATTAGATTCTCATAGAAGCATGAACCCTATTGTGAACTGTGCAAGCAAGGAATCTAGGTTGTGTGCTCTTTATAAGAATCTAATGCCTCATGATCTGAGGTGGAGCTGAGGCAGTGATACTAGCACTGGGGAGCAGCTGCAGATATAGATTAACATTAGCAGTGAGATTTGACTGCACAGAAACCATAATAAATAAGTTGCTTGCAGACTCATAAAAACCCTATCAGTGAGTGGCCAGTGAGTTGATGTACTTCAGTTGTACAGCTGCGTCTAGTGTCAGGCTTTAAGTCAGAGTCCGACACTTATTTTAGACAATGTATGGCCCTCCCATTATTTTATTTACCACTTCTGTCCTTGCTTCTTTTTTTTTTTTTATGGTAAGTTATATAATTATTTTATTATATATTGCAATGTAATGATAGAAATAAAGTACACAGTAATTCAAGCACAATAAATGTTATGTGTTTGAATTATCCTAAAGCTATCCTCTTCCCCTGCACTTGATCCATGGAAAAATTGTCTTCCATGAAACCAGTCCCTGATTCCAAAAAGATTGGGGATCACTGCTTTAACAGCTTAGTCCTTTAATCTTCTTCTTTATTTCTCATTAACTACTAACTCCAGTGGCTCCACTGTAGATCTTATCTTTCATAACTACTCAACTTGTGAAAACATAAGATCTCAAATACCTTCCTTTCTGATCACAATTTTCTATTCTTCCAGCTGCATCACCCAGTTACTTACACTATACGTGATCTTCAAACACTGAGTGTGCGCTTCAGGCTCTGGTCTTCACCTTCTTACCTATCCAGCTTAGGTTTTATAGTACATTGATTTAACTGTTCTCCTTAATTCCCTTGACCCGTTGTCCTTCCATTACATGAGATTAACTACAAAGCAATTCATCTAACTGTTCACTTTATCTTTTCTTATACTTGAACTGTCACACCCCCAGAAAAAAAAATTATACAGCTCTTGTCTAATTGCCCTAGCTAGGACTTCCAGCACAATGTTGAACAAGAGGGGTAGAGTGGGCAAGGGCTGAATTTCTTTTAATTTCTTGAAGGACATTCATGTTCTTTCTCTTTATTAAGCTATCATAAGAATTTTTATTTTGCTTGGAATAATCACACTTTCTAATGGCACATTCCTTGGAGTCCATTTGTGTGCTTGAAGAAATAGGTAACTTTCTGTAAGCTCCAACAGTACTTCTGTCCAGTTTGCATCCCTTAATACTACAGTATCTATGACAGCAGGCATTCATGAATTGTAGGTTGCATAGAGAAAAAAAGAAAGACAGTTTAGGGGAAAAATGAAGAGATCAAGGGACTGTGGCTCTCAACCAACTGGAAGAGCTGGTGCAGTGAGAATAATGTCAAGAGATTGTTGTCAGAAAGTAGAAGAGTAGTGTTTTAAGGTTTTAGAGTTCCAGGTATGACTCTTATGGATCCAGATAACCTCTGAGATATAATAAATTTTTAATAGCTCCTTTTATGATGATTCTGGTTTTCTGTCTTTTTTGTTATAATTCTCATGTCAAGGCCAACTTCCCTCAAAGCTGTAGCAGCTTGCTGTATTCTCTCCCTGTGGTGATCTATACTGTCACAAATGATATTTTGTTGTGCCTAGCACATAGTAGGTACTCTGAATGTTAGCCAGTGATGATAATTACATTAATAATTTGTCCCATTTTCAAACTGGTTTATATAGATACAGGGCAAGAAATTATGAGAAAAGAAGCCATTGCCTAAAAGGGTTGGTTGAAAGAGATCATTGAGACCACTGGAATAGTAGAGCCTTGACCTTGGCCTTTTCTTGCTTTGCATCAAGCAAAACAGAAATAAGTAGGTCAAGGGAGCTTGGTGGCAGCATTAGTCTCAGCAGGAGCCTGTTTCTTAGGCAACCACTACCTGTTTTTCTTAGGAAAAGATCCTGCTGTATCTATCTCAGCCTAGACTTTAGAACTATAATTGATGGAGTCGGGGGGAAGCTTTATTGCCATAATTTTGAAAAACGTGCTAATAATATTAAAATGGAAAGACAGCTTATGTTTTAGAAATTAACGAACAGTTTTTCTTTTGTTTAAAAAGTGAAAATCTTGATTTGTTCCCTAACATGATATTGTACATCTGAATTATCGTGTTGATCATAGACTAAAGCAGTCAGCATTTTGTAGGCATTGGGTAATATTGTAAATTTGTTTTATAAATGCATAACTGTAGGAAAGAAGAAATCCAGATAGATAATACCAAATAAAGGAAAGTGTATAAAGTTTATTGGAATAAAGTTTGAGAGGTAATTTGCACAACCATATAGACTGCTAGAGTATGCCTTATCCAGAGTCATAAGTATTGTAAATGAGATGGGTTTGGCTAAAACAAAACAAACAACAACAACAAAAATTGTTGCTACTTAATTGTGTTTTTTGACTGTACTTTTTTTTTTTATTCTAACAGAATATGGAAGGCTCCATGTTGACAATCAGCTTTGGAAATTGGATGGAACTACCTGGACTTAAATTTAAGGATTGGGTGTCAAGCAAACGAAGGTAAAAGTTAAACCGCATTAAAATTTTTTGGTGTACATTGAGAAAGAGACTGAGAAAATTTTTTTAAATTTGTGATTCACTCATGGATGAAGGATTTGAATATACATGTCTTTCAAATAAAAAATGCCTCCTTGAAGCAATGATTATAGTCAACTATTTTCTATTTAAAGATGTTATAAAACTAAGCATTGAAATAAGGAATTATCTGCAAATTGATTGTCTTGTCAAATTATGGATTTATACTCTCCTGTTAAATAATTCTCTGTTTAGTTACTTTCTAATACACCCACGTATTCTTTTCCATGTTTCTCTCTACTTATTTCTATGAGTTGATAGAAAATTTATATATGCATATCTCATGTACGTACCTAAAGTATTTGACTTTCAGGGTAAAGAGTATGTAATTTAGAAATGAGAATTTAGAATGATGGGATAAACTAGAGTCTGGGATATGGTAGAGTCTGGGATATGGCTGGCTATTTGAGTGCAAAAGTAAATATTTAATAAAAAAATAATAAAGTAGAACTGAGAAGAAATCTTATGGAAGAATATATATAAATTTATTTACTTATAATACTTACAAGTTTATTTACTTTTTGGGAAAAGAACCCAAAGTTTAAAAAGAGAAATATGAAAAACCCAATTATTTTCAAGGATAGTAAATAATAGATAGGAATTACTAACACAGAGAATCTACCTTAATTTGACTACTCACAAAAACAATAAGTTAAGCAGGAAGTTACTTAACCTTGTTAGAATAGGGCTGTAACATTTGAGTATTTTGACTTCCTGCTAGGTAGAAACCATGTCAATATACAGAAATTTTTCTTTATTTGAGGAGATTCAAAGAGACCCAATTTAGATCATCATGGGTAATTAAGATTAAACCTTTCAAAAAATTCATTTTAGTTTTTTTAAAAGGGATTTATATATGGGTTTGGGACTTAAAGTTGTAAAATCAGGAAAATTGTTTAAGTTCTTGACTTTCATAAGTAAGCAAGTAAAATTGCTCAACATGTTATTCCCTTTGTAAAACAGGTAAGTATGCATATTGTGTTTTGAAGTACTATGTGGAAATGGGTCTTATGATAAATATTAACTTTAGTTGCTATCTTTGAATAGTGTTAAGAGCGGTCTCTCAGGCCTCCAGAGATTGGCAGGGTTTGAATCCTCATTATAACTTCGAATGTTGTGACCCTGGGCAAATAACTTAAATGAAGCTGTCAATTTCCTAGTCTATAGAATAGAGATAATACAGTCATGCATCACTTAATGATGGGGATGCATTCTGAGAATTGCGTTGGTAGGTGATTTTGTTGTGCAAACATCACAGAGTGTACTTACACAAACCTTGATGGTATAACCTGCTACACTCCTGGGCTATGTGTTATAACGTGTTGCTCCTAGGCTTCAAACCTGTGTAGCATGTGACTGTACTGAATACTGTAGACAGTTATAACAATGGTATTTGTGTATCTAAGCATAGAAAAGATATAGTAAAAATACAGTATAAAAGATTTAAATGCTACACCTATTAGGTGAATGGAACTTGCAGGGCTGGAAGTTGCTGTGGGCAAGTCAGTGAGAGTGGTGAGTGAATATAAAGGCCTAGGACATTGCTTACTGGACTTTATAATTCTGTATACTTAGGCTACACTAAATTTATTTTTTAAAAGTAATTGTTCTACAACTGTAGGACAGCTTTGATGTAACTGGGCAATAGGATTTTTTTCAGCTTCATTATAAACTTATGGGACTTATGGGACCCATAAGATATACTGTCCTTTATTGACCAAAATGTCATTATGCAGTGCATGACTGAAGTAGTAACTACTATGTAAGGTTTCTGTAAAAATTGACAGTTAATTTATTCTAAGTCTTAGTTATAATCACTACATTTTAAAAATAAAAATTTTTATAAGCCTCCAATTACAAGTTACAGACAAGCCCCTACTTACAATGGTTCGACTTAAGATTTTTCGACTTTACAGTGGTACAGAAATGATAGGCATTCAGTACAAACCATACTCCAGGTGCCAATACGACCATTCTGTTTTCTACTTTCAGTACAGTATTTAGTAAATCATGAGATATTCAACGCTTTATTTTAAAATAGGCTTTGTGTTGGATGATTTTGCCCAACTGTAGACTAATCTAAGTATTCTGAGCTTGTTTCAGGTAGGTTAGGCTAGGCTATAATGTTTAGTAGGCTAGGTGTATTAAATGCATTTTTGACTTAATGATAATTTCAAATTTTAATGGATCTATTAGTACTAACCCCGTTGTAATATGAGGAGTATCTGTATAATGAATTATGTCAAATAATTTGCTTCTTATCTCTGATTGGAGGAAGGGGGTTAGGGACATTACTGCTCATTGCTTTAAAATTCAAATGGAAACAACAGATATGCTAATGGATTTTTAAAAATAAAGTGCAGATTGTGTTTTAAGAGCTCTTTATGATTAAGAATACACATAGAATGAAATGCCATCTCTTATTTACTTAGACTTCAGATGACGTTATTCAGCAGAAGACAGATCTGAATTATTTTCAGTTATTAGGAAAATAGAAAGCAACTTATTAAAAATCGTGTCAAATGGCATACATAATCTTTAAGAAACATGTATTATAGTTAAACCTGTAAATCTCAATAATTATAATCTAAATAATTTAGTTGATAGTTATAATTTTGAGATATAAAGTAGACTAGTTTTCAGATATCCACATTTTAATCCCCTCATTAACTTAATGAAAGTTTATCAAATAGCTAATTTAAGCAGACACTATGTATGACATTTGGGAAACAAATGCATTAAATACAGTCTTATCAAAAAATAAAAAGTTTTGTTTTGTTTTGTTTTTGGTAAAGTGTTGGGATAATTTATAACTAAGACAGTCCAGAGGAATAAAAAAGCTATAAAAGCTTACTAGATTGAGAAGTCATAATCATAGAAACTAAAAGTACTATCCTCAAAATGTATACTTTTTCTCTTACAGGAACCTAAAAGGGGATCGAGTTATGCCAGAGGAAATAGCTCGCTACTATAAACATTATGTAAAAGTCATGGGTCTTCAGAAAAATTTCAGAGAGAATACTTACATAACTTCAGTATCAAGACTCTACAGAGATCAAGATGATGATGATAGTGAACACAGAGATATTTCAACAAAACATTTACAGATAGAGAAGTCACAATTTATCAAGAGAAACTGGGAAATTAGGGGTTATCAGCGAATAGCGGATGGTTCTCATGTTCCCTTCTGTCTCTTTGCTGAGAATGTAGCTCTAGCAACTGGAACATTGGATTCTCCTGCCCATCTAGAAATTGAAGGGGAAGATTTTCCTTTTGTGTTTCATTCAATGCCTGAATTTGGAACTGCTATAAGCAAAGGAAAGTTGCGTGGCAAAGTGGATCCAGTGTTAATTGTAGGTTCTGGGCTTACAGCAGCTGATGCAGTACTGTGTGCTTACAACAACAACATACCTGTGATGCATGTATTTCGCAGACGAGTAACTGATCCAAGCTTAATTTTCAAACAGCTGCCCAAAAAGCTTTATCCTGAGTATCATAAAGTGTATCATATGATGTGTACTCAGTCGTATTCTGCAGACTCCGATCTTTTATCTGATTATACCAGTTTTCCTGAGCACCATGTGCTTTCCTTTAAATCGGACATGAAATGCATTCTTCAAAGCATCTCTGGATTGAAGAAAATATTTAAACTCTCTGCAGCAGTAGTATTGATAGGTTCTCATCCTAATCTGTCTTTTCTGAAGGAACAAGGGTGTTACCTAGGCCATAAGTCAAGCCAGCCAATCACATGTAAGGGTAATCCTGTAGAAATAGATACATATACCTATGAGTGTGTTAAAGAAGCCAACCTTTTTGCATTGGGTCCTTTGGTCGGAGACAATTTTGTTAGATTTTTAAAGGGAGGGGCATTGGGTGTTACACGCTGTTTAGCTACAAGACAGAAGAAAAAGCAGCATTTGTTTGTTGAAAGAGGAGGAGGAGATGGAATAGCTTAAAGCAAGTTTACAAGGAATTTAAATGGACAGCTTTCCATTAAAATTTTTAATAGTGGTTTTGCAGTGTACTGGCTTGAATTTTCTGGACTTGAATTAACTAAAGGGGAACCTCAAGCTATAGTAACTTAATTTTTCAAAGTTACCAGAACTTGGTGTCCTGATTTATATTGTAATGTTTCAAAGATGTTACTGTCAGACAGATAGAAATACTGCCAACTTGGTATACTTTAAGCTTTCACTTAACTAAAACATTATTTTCTTTCAAGATTTATTTTTTGTGATAATTTTCAGTTATTTCTTATGTTTGATTCCAAAATATTACAGCCTTGAATCTATAAAACTGCACGGTCATTAGGACAGAAATTATCCTAACTGTATAATGGACCACCTTGCAGCTCAGAAAGGTAGTCCAAGGACCAACAGTATCTGCTTTATCTGTAGCTTGTTAGAAACTTAGTGTCTCAGGCCCCACAACATACTGAGTCATAAACTGCATTTTAACAGGACGCTCAAGGGATATGCATGTTCATAAAAGTTTGAGACACACTGGTGTACATGAAAATGAGAAATAAGGTATGTGTGCTGGGGCAGGGTGGGGGTAGGAGGCATTTATAACTCAGGTTTTATTTATTTTGAAATTATCAACTGTATAAATCTAATTTATTACCAAATATGGTCTTTTTAAAAATATTTTTATTGTCAAAATCGTGACAGGTACTTCATATTCTTCTAATAATTTAAACAGTCAAGTAATATTGGTATACACTTTGACATCCAAGAACGGACAAGATATTTTTCGGAGATTTATTCTCTACTTAACCATCATAATGTTTAACTAATCTGATTTGCAATTCAATAAATTGTGGATGGAATTACTTACTCCTGTGTGAACATTCCTGTGTTACTTTCTGTCACTGAAACTAAGATATCTGGGCATGGTAAGTACTTCTGAAATTGTAATACTCTTGAGGTATTGTCAGAATTATTAATGGTTAAAACAGAAAATAAGGTTAAAATTATTTTCCCCTGCCATCCAGAGGAACTTGTTTGACAATTCCATGATGTCTTCCCTCTGGCGGTCCCCCCCAGAGGAAAAAATTCTTATTTTCCATTCCCAAGGTGATTATACTTTGAGATCTCTAATAGTGTTTGTTCATTGGAAGTGACATAACAGCTCATACCATGGTTATTTATTCTCCCCTAATTATTTTGATTTGTATTTATTAAGTAGTTCTTAATGTCTGTGTTTTCACACAAATCTCTAGATTTTTTTTGACATTAAACAAAAAAATCTTCTGAAGTTTTTCATAGCAAATAGAATTTCTGTCACTTTCTCCTTTTTGATACAATTATTTTATCTGGAATGTGTTCATTGAACCTTTCATTACACTTTTCTTAAAATGGACTAATATGTCAGTATTTTTCTGTTCACTTCATTGTAATAGTAAGTGCTTATTAACTAATTCACCTTAAATATAATTATATAGAATATATTTGTTTCTACCAACTAATTGCTTCAGATGAAGTCTTAGACTTTTGATAACCATCACATCTAATTAATTTAACTTGATTTTATGAACTATTCAATCCAGTTTTGTTTCCTATTGTGATAACAACTTTTTCCAAACTAATTTCATGCCTCATTGAAGTGGTGTGCATTTGATTTAATATTCTCTTGCTTGCTTGTTTTTGAGTTCTGAATGAGTTGGATTAGATGTTTTTCTTAATGTTACTTCTAAACTGAAAATGACAAAATTATAAAAGATGACTTCTAGGGAAGGTTAAGAGCATTGGCATCCCCTCGAGTCTCAAAAGTCTGTTCTTACTCATGCAATAGCATTTTTGTGATTAGAGTATTCTTAAGAAAAAGAAAAATACTTCAAGGGAAATAAGGTTTAGCAGAGCCCTAAGTAAACTTAGTGGAGAATTTCATCTTGGTAGCCTCCTATTTCCAAGCGTTCTGTGTAGTATATAATCAAGCATATTCTCTGATGTACTATACTCCAGTACTCTTTAAGTTTACAAATCTCAGTCCCATAATTCTAAGACATTTCATTTTCTTCAGTATCAACTGGCTATTCCGGGAAAGGAAAAATCACTTAATACTTACTTGGCTGGTTGTAGCATGTTGTGGGCCTCTCCTCCTTATCCATCCGTGTCAAGCAAACAGTGCATAATTAATAGATGTCGACTGTTTTCAAAGCAGATCATGAGGATTTAAAAAAAAAAAATGATACAGCTGGGCTTGGTGGCTCAGCCTGTAATCCTGTGCCTTTGGGAGGCTGAGGTGAGTGGATTGCCTGAGCCCGCGGGTTCGAGACCCGCCTGGGCATCGACACCTCATCTCTACAATAAATCAAAAAATCAGCCGGGCGAGGTAGCACATGCCTTTGATTCCGGCTACTTGGAAGGCTGAGGTGGAAGGATCGCCGGAGCCCAGCAGGTGGAGGCTGCGGTGGCCGGGAGCGGCCACTGCACTCCAGTCTGGGTGACAGTGAGACTGCAACTCAAAAAAAAAAACCAAAAAAAAAAAGATACAATAAAAATATAACTTAGTTACAGCTTTCAGTTCTTGGGCAGTCTCAGTATGTGAATCTCATCCAACTCTACTTTTTTTTTTTTTTTAATCTAAGAAGTGCCAGGCTCGGTGGCTCAGCCTATAATCCCGCAATTTGAGAGGCTGAGGTGAGTGGATTGCCTGAGCCCGCGGGTTCGAGACCCGCCTGGGCAACTTGGCAATGCCTCATCTCTACAATAAATAAAAAAAATTAACCAGGCATGGTAGCACGTGCCTGTAATTCCAGCTACTCGGAAGGCTGAGGTGGAAGGATCGCCGGAGCCCAGCAGGTCGAGGCTGCAGTGGCCGGGAGCTGTCACTGCACTCCGGTCTGGGCAACAGAGTGAGACTCCCAACTCAAAAATAAAAATAAAAAAATAAAATTTAAGAAGTTTCATCATGTAATAATTTCTATGGCATAAAATTTTAGTTAACAGATCTTTAAAAAAAGATCAAAGGTATTTAAAAATATTGCATAGTCAATAGGAAGTAGTGAAAAATTCTAAACAAATCCTTCTGTTAATTAAAAGTAAGTTCCAATAAGTCCCAACTTTTGGAACACTGAGAAACTCAGAATGAAACAAAACTAAACTGAATTTAAATGCCATTACAAAATCTAACTGGGTTGCAAAGGCTGCTTATTGTATAGAACTCTTGATCAGATTAGATCTTATAATAGTCTTTTAAAAACACTGTAGTATACATTCTTAGGAGGGAAAACATGCCTGAGTCTCTAAGGCTAGCCTGAAAAAGTGTATGTGGAATAAGGATTAAACAGATAATCAGCTGATTTTGAACTATTCCTCTATTCAGGTTATTTAAGAAAAAGGGTGTCTTTGGAAAAGAAACAGTGTAAACAAGGTAAAGATAATGACTGATAAACCATAAAAAGAATGAAAACTTTTCAATTTAAAAAGGATGGCCTACTGATTTTAATCAGGACAGTGAAAAGACAATTGGACTTACCCTTCACTCTAATCAACTATATAACTCTGAAAAGTAGATAAAGCAATGTTTTCACACAATGAGCAGTAGTACAGGACTGATTTTTAAGAGAAGAAACAGAGGTATCATCACTTTTTCCCTGAAGGTACTTTGCAAACTAACATAAAGAGTATGTCTAGATAACAAAAAACATCACATTTCAGGATTTAGCTGGAATTTGCTGGGCAGAATACTGGAGAGGAGGAAGCTACACAGAGAAGCACCTCCAAAGCATCTTCAGTTTAGCACAATACTAAACTGAAGTTGGGATGAGAAATCATTGGTCTTGTCAAAGATCAGCAACTACAAACCAGGGGCTGAATGGAATTCTGGAGATAAACAGTTCTAGAAGACAGGAATTATAGCCAACCAGCAGAGCCAGGCCTTAACAGTCCAAGAATTCTTTTGAGACCCTGCCCCCAAAAGGCCATTCCTTGAGAATAGGGATACTCTAAATCTGCCTAAAAACCTCAAAAGGATGAAGCAGATTTGCCAGTAAATTAATTGCCTGCTAACACAAGCCTTGACACTTCTTATAGGAAGACAAAATCTGAACTCTCACAACACCATTGACAATGTCCAGCATATGGTATAAAGGTATGAGATGTCCAGACAAAATGTAATACAACCAGCAGAAGAAAAAAACCAAAACAGACCCAGAGTTGACACTGTTGGAAATAGCAAACAAGTACTTTAAAATACTATGAATACGTAATTTAAAAACTTAAAGGAAAAGGTTGACACAGAGTGAACAAGTGGGGGAATCTCGTAAGAAAACTAAAAAGTGAACTTTGTACAGCTGAAAAATACATTCTGAAATGAAAAGTTCACTGGATGAGCTTGACAACATAAAGGACACTAAGAAGAAAATGAACTCGAGGACAGGTTAATAGAAACTATCCAAACAACACAGAGAGGACTAAAAATAATTAGACTTAATGACAAGACATCAGATGGTCTAACCTGCATGTTGGAATCCGGAGGAGAGGAAGAGAGATACTGAGAAAGAAAAGCATACATTTGGAGAACTAAATGTTGAACAATTTCTAAATTTCATTTAAGAAACAATCTGCAGATCAAGAAAATCAAAATAGGTAAAACATAAAGGAAACTACATGTATGCACATCATAATCAAATTGATGCAAAATAAAGAGAAAAATTTAAAAGACGTCAGGGGGAAAACATAATGGAACATAAGAGAATAAATGACCAGAAAAAATGCAACAGGAAGGCAGCTTTTAAATATCTTGCCATGCTGAAAAAAAAACACTGCCAAACAAAAATTCTATATATCTAGTGAAATTATTTTTTGAAATGAACACATGTGAAAGTTGAAAAACTGTGATATCAGGAGATCTGCACTACAAAAAATGGTTGAAGGAAGTTCTTTACATTGAAGGTAAATGATACCTAATGAAACATAGATCTACATGAAGGAAAGAAGAGTGCCAGAAATGGTAAATGATTATTTTTCTCATTTCTTAAGTTATTTAAAATCCAATTGACTGTTGAAATGTTTAACCAAAAAATGATTTAAAACAAAAAGTAAAAAGTAATAATGTAATGTAGTAGTGATATTTATAGCAGAAATAATAGATAAGTGGAAGTATACTTTCTTAAGCTGTATACATTATGCATAAGGTGGTAAGATGCTTACTAGAGCATAAGTTATTATGCATATTGTTATTAACAGCCAATTGGATTTGAAATAATTCTTATTAGCCACCAAAATTTTAAAGGCGTTGCTAAAAAGCCAGTAGAGATGAAATACTAAAAACTAATTAAAAAGAAGGCAAAGGGTTTGTATGTCAGGGGAGGGGGGAGGGTGTGCAGGGAGACCAGATGAGACAGAGAAAACAAGTATCACCGACTCTGACCTAACCGTTCCAATAATTATATTACATACAAGTGGATTAAGTACCACCAGTTTAAAGACAAACATCATCACACCAGACAAAAAGCTTCAAGAATATATTCCTTACAAAAGACTCATGTAAATAGGTTATAAGTAAAAGAATGGGAAATGACATGCAAAGCACCAATAAAGACTTCAAGACAAGTCTTAATAATAAAGATAGGGCTCGGTGGCTCAGCCTGTAATCCCAGCACTTTGGGAGGCTGAGGTGAATGGATTGCCTGAGCCCGCGGCTTTGAGACCCGCCTGGGCAACTTGGAGAGACCTCATCTCTACAATAAATGAAAAAATTAGCTGGGTGTGGTAGCGCGTGCCTGTAGTTTCAGCTACTTGGAAGGCTGAGGCGGAAGGATCGCCAGAGCCCAGCAGGTTGAGGCTGTGGTGGCTGGGAGCGTGCCACTGCAGTCCAGTCTGGGCGATAGAGTGAGACTCCAACTAAAAAATAATAATAATAATAATAATAATGATAAGTTTCTCATAAAAGGTTAATTCATGAAGAACATACCAATTCTGAATGTATTTGCCCCTAATTACAGAGTTTTCAGACATATAAAGCAAAAAAGGCAATAGAGATCTAGAGGAAGTGATAGACAAGTTCACAATTATAGTTGGAGAGTTTGTTATTTCTGAGTGTTCAAACAAGTAGATAAAATCGGAATATAAAAGATTTCAATACCATTGTAAATCACTGACCTGATATTTATAGAGCACTCACACCTCTCAACTGTAGAATACACATTATTTTTAAGAGCACATAAAACACCCACCAAAACAGACCAAACATATGCTTGCTTGCCCATAAAACTAGTCTCAAATACTTTGAAAAGATTAAAATCTTACTGTGTTTGACCTCTGACCACAGTAGAATTTAACTTAGAAATAGCAACATATACAAGTAACAATTATATCATTTGGTAGATGAAAAAGCTATATTTGGAAATTAAACAGTCCACATATCAATGAATAAATCACAGGAAAATTAGACATATTTTGAACTGAATGATCGTATAAATATCCAAATTTGGTACATGCAATTGCAGCAGTGCAGAGTGAAATTCATAATTCTAAATACTGATATTAGAAGACAGGCTTAAAAATCTACAATGGCTAATAATATAAGAGCATATTTAACCCAAAGCAAGCAGAAGGAGGGAAATAAATCATGAAAATCAGTAAATAGAAAAAGAACATATAGTAGAGGAAAAAAGCCAATGAAATGTTCTTCAAGACATTTTCGATAAAGTTAATAAACCTCTAGCTAGCTGACAAGAAAATAACTCTAAGCTCAGATAACAAGAATGAAAAAGGAGACATCACTGCATATTACAGAGACATTAAACATTTAACAAAAATGTTATGAACTTTGTCAAATAAATTTGACAACTCAGAAGAATGGACAGAGTTCTTGAAAGACTCAAACTACCAAAACTGCCACAAGAAATAGAAAACTTAAATAGTTCCCTAAGATTAGAAATAAGACATTTAACAGCGAATTGATTGTCCTAACCAATGTAATAGATAAGAAAAAGAAACGGCAAAACAAATGGAAAAGATAAAGTGAAACTGCCTTTATTCATATATGACACAATTGTGTACATACAAATCCTAAGGAATCTACAAATGGATCTAATGAATGGGTGAATTTAGTAAGTTCATAGACTAAATTCAATATATAAGAATTGTATTTTCATATAGAAGTAATACGGCATTGTATGATAAAATACCATTTGCAGTATCAAAAAATATTAAATGCTTAGGGATAAATTTAAAACAGATGAGTAAGCCTCTATAGTGAAACAATAAAACAGTGCTGAAAAAAAGAAGTGCTAGGTAAAGGGATATTTTATGCTATGGGTTGGAAGACTGAATGTTTTTATAATGGAATTTCTTCCCAAATTGATATTTAGATTCAGCAATGCCAGTTAAAATTCTAGCAGATTTTTTTTTTCTTCTTGAGTTGGAGTCTCACTGTCACCCAGGCTGGAGTGCAATGACAAGCTCATGGCTACCTCAGGCATCCTCGACCTGCTGGGCTCAGGTGATCCTGCCACCTCAGCCTTCCAAGTAGCTGGAACTACAGGCATGGTCCACGTCTGGCTAATTTTTAAATTTATTGTAGAGATAAAGTCTTACCAAGTTGCCCAGGCTGATTTTGAACCCATGGGCTCAGGTAATCTTCTCACCTCCGCCTTCCAAAGTGCTGCAGTTACGGGCATGAGCCACTGCACCCAGCTCAGCATGCCAATTTTATTAAAAAACAAGAAATACTACTAGGAAGACTGAGGTTGAAGGATTGCCTGAGCCTAGCAGTTTGAGGCTGCAGTAGCCATGAGCATGCCCACTGCACTCCAGCCTGGGCAACAGAGTGAGACTCTGACTCAAAAAAAAAAAAAAGAAAAAAATCGACATGCTGGGAGGATTTATAGCATCTGATTTATAGTCCCTGACTTATGATGGTTCAACTTAAGACTTTTCAACCTCATGGTGGTGTGGAAGTGATATACATTCAGTAGCTTAAAAACTGTTTCCCTTAACTCCCTTGCAGCCAGAGTTCCATCTGCAAGTAGCCTGATCTGGTTCTGGCAAATAGATGGCACTCCCCCAAGGTCTGCATGGTGAAAATTATATAGAGGCCAGCTTCCTATCCCTTTTGCTGTTTCTGCTTACAAGGGAAGTCAATGGAAATATGGTTTCCATTCCTCATTCTACAGGCAACTAAGCAGCTGAAGTGATTAACTGGCACTTCCTTCACATTGGATCTTAGGATGTGGATGTATTTTTAAATGCACGGTTCCACTGAGAAGCTACCCGAGTAGGTCTATAATAAATTGTTCTGGGAGCTTTTCTTGAAAGCCCAGACTACAACCTGCTCCTCCTCTAACCATTTTAAGCACCGAATACCTTCTCTTAAGTCATTTCCTGCTTAAAATACTTAGTCATTTACTTCAATTAACAATTCAGTGTAGAAACATCTCTGCCCTCCATTTCTTAACATGCCTTACGCAGCATTATACACTGGTTTTGAAATCCCCATGCAGAAACTGTCAACAGTTCCTCCTCTGTCTACAAAATAAAAATTCAGACCTTCTGCTTTGATATTTAAGGTCTCTCAATTTGCTAACAAAGCTGGGGCTCCATTTTAAAGAAGTGCTGTTCCCCTAGTTTGGGAGGCTAGCCTGTGCAGTAACAGATTAGAAACGACTTTCAATGCCATGGTTGAGAGCAGTAAAATACCTTCCAACAAGTTTGCCCACCCCACATCATCATTGTATAAAGGGGAATAGGCTGACTCAATACTTGTATATTCATATTCAATAGCCTTACAAAAAAGGCAAATCTGTTCACAAAAGCGATTTATACAGTCACCCTTGTGAGGCTTGAGGGAGAAGACTTTACCCAAATCTCAACTTGCTGCAATTTCATAAGAAGGAATTTGGGTCAGATGTAGACTCCTGCTAGTGGGAACAACTACAAGACTTCAGTAGTGGATCAGAATTATGAGAGGAAAGATACTCCTGAGTAGTAAGGGAGCTGCGCCTGGAGAAAGAGAAGAGGGTAAGTAGCGCTAAAAAAGCTACTGTGAAATGGACAATTGTGATACTGTGGCCAAAGGGCAAGCCACCTCCTCCCTACCATCAGGAAGCTGGCTGAGCTACAGCTCCTAAAGTCCTAGCCTAGAAATGGGGGCACAGTTCCCATTCATTTGATGAAGATAGGATGGTGACAGGATATCCCTCCCCTCTTCTTTATCCCAAAACAGGTAAAGGTTTACAAAGAGTTTGCACCAGAGCCAGGGTAAAAGTATGTAACCTACCCAAGTGGGTCTGTGAGTGAAGTTGTACAGGGCAGAGCTAGCTGGCTTATAAAGATTGAACAGTGCTGAAACATTTATGCAAAGCAATGGGAAACATCTTCCATTTATTTTAACAGTACTCTCCATGGTGAATGAAACTTAGAGGGAATCTTAGCAACTCAAGACTGTCGGTTCTCAGAGAACAGAGACCTTTACTCATTCATCTTTGGATTCTTTCACAGTGTTGTAGATGGCAATGCTTTATATATATATGTTTAATAATGTTTCCTAAACAAAGAATTTGAAAGGATAATGGAAGCTGAGAAAACAAAGTAATAAACAAAAGAGCTATAGATTTACAAACTATTTCCATAAAAAAATGATGTTCTGAGGGTTAGTCAAAGGTGGAAAGTATCTTGGCCAGATACTTAAACAGGGTGACTTTCCTCAATTGAATATGGAGAAATCCTAAGCTTCCACAAAGCCCACAAAAGTATATTCTAATTTATGCTATAATTTTTCATGCTCTGATTTAAAAAAACCTAAAAAGGTAAGGCTTGTTAGGGTGGCAGAAACTGAGACCAGGAAGCTTTCAGTCAGTATAAAAGGCCTGTACCATTTTCTAGCCTAGCACTTAGATTTAGTTAATAAAAAAAGACTACATCAGAATTCTAATATGCAACCTAAGTTGAAAATTACTTGTTGATATTAACAAATTTGAAAAATATACTTTCTTTTTTATCTTACCCTTTAAGGTAGAAGACAGCCTCACCTTTTCTACTTTATTAATAGGGAAACTAAGACTCTCATGAAGCTCAAAACAGAGGCACGCCCAACTCAGTACGAACATATAAAAGGGGTACAGGTCCTGCCATTCTGGTAAGATCTAACTACGAGTTTGATGATGTCTTCCTATGGTCTTCAGTTTCTGTACTAGAATAATATGTGGGTGACATCTTCACCACTGAAGCCATTTCATTTGGGTATTCCAGTTTATGGAAGACTACAGCATAATGAAAAAGAAGAAATTACACTGATATTCTTATGATCCTCTAATCTACTAAGTGAAAAAGAACAATGTGCAGAACACTGTATGTGTTATTTGTGTAGACATTTATTTAAAAATGATATGTATACAAATTCTGAATAGGCATTAAAAGTTTCTGGAAAGACTCTCAAGAAATGGATATCATAATTTCTTTCTGAGGGGAGCCAAATAGCTAGGACAGTGGTGGAAGGCTAACTTTAGTCTTTACCCTTTTTATGTACTTTTAGAATTTTGAACTGTGCTTATATTAAAACTATTCAATAAATAAACACATTTTAAAAAGAAAACAAAATTATGAGAGATGAGATGACAAAGCCTGAAAAGAGATCAATATTGTCACACACAAAATAAACAAGTTTTATGCATTTTATTTAACAAATTTAGGGCATAAAATATTTGTAACATATTCATGTATCCCAGTTAGCCTGAAGTAAATGTTAGATACAAAATGTTTTTCCATGGCTTCTTTTTAAATCCTCAGTTATCTTCTCCTTTTTACATTAGGATTATATCTGCAAAGAAAGAAATGGGGTTAAATGATATTTAGATAAGGGGTGGTATTTCTTTTAAAGTTAAAGAGCTTTCAAACAACAGTCACACTTTGGCAAATGGAGACTGCCAATTTTGTCCTTAGAATGTCCTTAGACATTCTTATTTTCATTTATCCCTTTGATGTTGCTTTGATGAATACATGGTAACAATAAAACATCATCAAAGGTAAAGCTTTACAATAATTAACGAAAATAAGAGTTTAAAAATCAATATGTATTTATACTTCTTCCAGTATGGCTTCAAACAGAAGCCCCTCCAAAATTAAAGTATACCATTCGTACAAAAGAGCATAATAAACCTAAAATATAATTGTCACTTCATAAAATTTTCTCCTATAGCAATTAAATACAGCTGAGCAACAAGAGAATCTCATTTGACTACCTAGGAAAATAAGTACTGTCTGTCAACATTTTCACCTATGATTTATATTGTCAATTATGAAATCAGAGAATCAATCTAACTGGCCACAAAACAGACTAAAAAATACAGTATTTTGGTTCTGCCTTTAAGTAAGTTTGGAAAATGTTACTCTCCCTTAGTTGGTCTCTACTTCTAAAATATTATTTTATTAGTATTTGAGAAGTAATTCTTATAATAGGTTTGTTATATCTGCAGAAATGCTGAAAGTGTAGTAAGTCAGAATTAAATTATAACCACCTATTACAATTCATCTCAAACCTCCCACCAAAATCTGCTTTGAGACTCTAACCCAGCCTTTTATTTTTACGTATGTGCCAATTAAATATGCATAAACAAAACAATCTGGCATTTTACTTCAAAACTAAAACTAAACAAATGGTCTGACATTTTACTTCTCTTAATTCAAAACCTATTATGTTCATAATTCTACCCAGAGCTGAAAATATCTCATAAATTTATAAGCCAAGTTCACCCAGTTCAGGAACCTTCTTTTCACTTGAATGCCCGCATGCAAATTATAAGTATCCTGTGATACAGTACAACTGAATCAACCCCAAACCTCGAAGCTATAGCCAGTAAACCCAAAGGAGAGATATACAAGCACTAAAAAGAAGCACGCATGTTAAAAACAATAGAACTAAAATTTATATACATCTTGCAAAGGTACATGAGAAAGCTGAGTCAAAGTTTACCTAAAGAGATCATCAGCAAGAGACTCTTCTTTTGCGTGTTGATTTTGTACCTGTCAAAATTAACATTAACATTAACTTCAAACATTTGCTCAATGGTGAATACATAGTTAATTAACTACTATACGGATGGGTCACTGATATCTTTGAGATTTTCAATCATGGAGGTCCTAAGTGCATGAGTTCTTGCTTCTACACTATCTCATTCAACTGATCTCTGTTCACTCCATGCTAGGATTCTTGTAAAAGGGCTCTAATTAAACAACTTTCTCCAATCTTTGCTCAAAAGCAACCAACATATATTACAGACTTGTTCAAATTTTTTTACTCTTTCCAGCAGAAGCCTTTTACTAAATGAAATTTAAGTGCTTTGGAGTCAGACCACTGATGAGACAGAGAGAACAATACTTAACCCAACTTCCCTTAAAGTAGCTCTGCAAGTAAAGGGGCTCCCATCCTTTTGATGCCAAACAGGGACTAGAAAGTACTGCTAAATTACCTCAGCTACAAAGTACTTTTCAACACAAATTCCTAAAGCATCTTAGAGTTAGGATCATAAAAAGCCTGTGCTGAGAGCATCTCCTAAAGTCCAGCTATGACCAAATCATTTGTCATTTGAAAGCCTTCAATGACTTCTCCCATCTATCAAAGAAAACACAAACCCTTGAGTCTGACTCCAAAAAGGTACGAGGCTCTTTATAACCTGGGTCCATTTTACTTTCCCAATCACTTCTCATCGTCCTCTTCATGGATGGCATGCCAGTTAAAAGTGAATTATAAAAAAAGACAATAAAAACAATACAAAACCCATCATCACCTCTTAATACCCATGACCCTCTCTCTGTTTTTGTTCATGTTTCTCTCTGACCAGAAAGCTACCTCTTCCCACATGTAACCACTTTTCAAGGTGCAGTCATTCAATAAGTATTTAGTGCCTACTATGTATCAAGGAACATGTTCTTCACCTCTTTAACAGAGGCTTTCTGATCCCCTTCATTTAAAAATAATGCCTGCTACGAAGAACTCCGCAAAAACTTCACCTACAGAACTCCTAGAATGCTTCTCAATTTCTACCTTCTGTTTTAATTATTTATATTTGTATTCTATCCTTTCTAAAAGACCATTAAGTTCCTTAAATGCACACATAGTAAGTTCTCATTTAAAGTTTTCAGTAGGTTCTTGGGAACTGCAGCTTGAAGTGAAATGATGTACAACAAAGCCAATATTTTTTTTCTCATCAACGTTACAACAGAACAATATTATTCAAGGATCCACTATATGTCATCTCACTTAAAGCTGCAGTTTCCAAGAACCTATCAACAAGTGAGCACTTACTGTACTGTTTGTTCTTACTGTTAATAATTTACACTTGTGTGTTTTCAGATAATATCTTAAACTCTTTATTTAAAAAATTCATTTACTCTTCTTGTAACTTTATTACTACTATTATAAGATTGTCCCAATTTTAACCAATGAGGGAACAGAAACTTAGGTTAAATAACTTGCAGAAGATCAAAAAACTATCAGATGGAAAACTGGGATGTGACCAGATCTCCCTTAATAGAAGCACCAACTCTCAACCCAGCTGCCACACGGTTTTTGAATCTTGCTTCTGAATCTCTGGAAAAAGCCTAGAAGTGGGACTTGTAGGGATTCCATCTTACAGACTGATTTTCTATTCATATAGTGAACCGTCAAAATCAAATTCTTCTTTTTCACACTTTATAATAGGGATAGCAGAACACAAATTGGAAGACACGATTTTCATAAAGCAGTTGTCAAAATAGCTGCTGGTATCATTACTGTAAATATACTTAGGGGCTTCTTGGCAGGGGATGCTAATTTTAAAGCTGTAGCACAGTAAAGAAAAACCAGAGAAAAGAAATCAGTTTTATTTCATATATTTTAGTAAAAACATTAAGTAAAATAGTATTAAGGCATAGAAATATTACTGGCATTCGTCAAGGGTCCAAGAGAACTACATCTTACAGTCTTTCAAAATTCAAATCAGGCTATGCAGAGTTCAAAGAATTATTGTTTGCTGTACTGAATAAAAATATCCTAAATTCAAGGGAACTTCAGGAACTGATTCAGTGATTATGGAAACTAAGACTGTGTGTGCAGAAGTAGAGAAAGAAGGGCTGAACAAAAACAAAAGGCAGGGAATACAGAAAAGGAATAGCTAGGGCAAACACGGAAATGACATGTCAGTACTTTGGCACATTATGTATAGAAGCAGTAGCCACACAGCAGAAGCAAGTCAAGTCTATTATGGAGTAAATCCTACCTACAGTGCCTAAAATTATTAGAGTGAACAGAGATTTCATGACATAAATCTAGAACACAGTCACTCTCTCTAATTCCTAATGAAATAAACAAAAGATAGAAAAAAGTCAGCAGCGTATCATCATTTTCTCAACTACTTTTCCATCTAAAACCAACCAAACAAAACCTGACGGTGGTAATTAATTAAAAAGAAAGGGATAAGCCCATGTCATAGATTTTAAAAATGCAGCTGTTTAAAGAATCAAATGGTTCTGATGCAAATTATTCCCAACACTGTCCTAACACATTAAAAAGTACTACAGAACTGGCCAAACCTGAAGATTCTTACTAATGCCTCAAATTTGGGAAAAAAGTAGCCTGAATAGGCAATTACTAGTAGCCGGCTGCTGGGAAGGGACTACTAGCATGGGGAGGTGAAGGAGTGGAACTGACACTGACCCCAGAGATAGGCTCCAGGAATCCCTAACAAATTAAGTAAACAACCTAAAATGCTAGGTTATTCTTTGGGGATAGGGTACACTCCCTGATACAGGCCATTTAATTTAAATTCTGGGACAAAGCTAGCCCAGGTTTTTAATAAAAGCTGCACACAGCTCCAGCTGAGCTTTTCCTCTTCCTGATTCAATGTCTTCAGGCAGCAGAAACTAGATGGGACACACAATGTGTCTTTGACTGAGACTGAGCATGTTGCCACACTGACAGTGAGGCACAGGGGAATTCTGTTCTTTATGGGCAAGCTAAGAGGGTTAGGAGTAATTTCAATTATACTCAATTTCTACCTCACAAACTGGCTTTAGAATGTAATCTCTGCCTAAGATGGCACATGATCCTTTTACATAGCAAACAGAATATTCAAACAGGGCACTTCACTTTACACAACTGAGGATGAAAGAAAACAGCAAAGATACTCAACATATTAAAGGAGAAAAAGAGAGATACTGGAGCAAAACATGCAAAAGATAAATGAAGAACTCTGCAAGAAACAATAACCCAAGAATAAAAAATAAATTAAAAACAACATGAAAACAATGAAATAAGAACCAAAAAGGTAAAAAATTTTAAAAAGAACAAATGCTAAGTAAACAAATCGAGAACCACAATAACACCATTTCAAAATTAAGTAAATGGGAAATAGCTAATGTTCTCCATTGTTATAAGTGCTTTATAAGAAGTATTTAATCCTCACATGTCTGTGAAATAGAGGTATTATTATTATTTTCATTCTGCACAGAAGGGAACAGAAGTATTAAGTAATTTGTCCAAGGTTACACAGCTGGTGAGAAATAGAATAAACATATGAAATTTGAATTTTTGATAAGTAAAAGTTTAAAAAACCACAGTGAACGCAGAAGAAAGAGATGTAGAAAGAGATGTAGAAGGCAAAGGTGATTCAATAAAAGGATAGTCAGCAGCATATCATCATTTTCTCAACTACTAGAGAGCCTAGCAAATATATAAAAATTTTTTAAATAAAAGTTCCTTGAGAAAAAAAAACCTGCAAATCAAAATAGCATATTATGTTGTAGAAAAAACTAATGAAGAATGAGCAACACTGAGGTATATTCTAAGTGTTACTCTGAAGCTTAAGAAAGACTATTGCAGACATGCAAGTCACCTAAAAAGGGAAAAAACAGGACTTGCAAAAGGTGGGGGAGGGGAGGTGGGAAGAAGTACAAATGATGTCCTCTCTCTTTGTAGCAGGGAGTCAACAAATAATATCTAAAAGTGAAATATGAAGTTTAAAACAAATACTGATTCAATTTGGTGATTTTCATATTTTCTCCCCTAAATCTCAGAGGGATCCCTGGAAATAAAATGTCTTGGAAGAAAGAAACATTTATCCATATTCAGCAATGAATGTTTAACTTCCTTCTACCAATGTCTCTCCCTCCCTTCCCAGTCTGTCTCTGCCTCTCACCACTCCTCAATGAAGAGCTGCCTGGAACATTACTCACTTAAATGTTTAAACAGACAATTTCTGGGCTTTAGATTTTCACTTCTTGATTATTTTGTGTACTGCAATAATTCTTGGGAATGCACATTTATAAAATAATAAGGGCAATCATTCTATCAAAAAAGAAAAGGAGAAAGGATATGACTGCCATTCATTCATTTTTTGACAGTAGGTATCCTGAGTGATCTTCCTAACAACTCTACTTTTACAAGCAATCTTCCTAATAACCCTTATTTAAAAATAACTTAAAAAGTATTTTTGTTTTTGAGTTGGGGTCTCACTTTGTTGCCCAGGCTGGAGTGCAGTGGCACACTCACAGCCACCCCAGTGTCGAACAGTTGGGCTCCAGTGATCCTTCGCCTGGGTCTTCCAAGTAGCCAGAACTACAGGCACGCACTACCATGCCCAGCTAATTTTTGATTTATTGTAGAGATGAAGTCTCGCCAAGTTGCCCAAACTGGTCTCGAACCTGCAGGCTCAGGCAATCCACTGGCCTTGCTGGGATTACAGGCTAAGCCACCAATCTCCGCCTAAAAAAGCATTTTCAAAAATGAGTTGCTGAAGGATACACTATACCCACTAAAAAGCAAAATAAGGAACCCTGAGAGATTAGCAAGCACCACAGCCAGCTTTTGTCTTGCAAACCACGAAAAACTGGAACTCTGCTTTGTATGGGGTATGAGTGACATGAAAAAAAACCCAAGATGGTGACTTTAATAAAAGACCCAACACTAAAGGAATAAAGAGAAATAAATCTTACAACATAGAATTAGACAGCAAAGAAACTTGCCTGCCTTAACTGTGAAACTTGGTGAAGGAAAGAAGTAAAAATTTCACTTGAAGTTTATAGTGACAAATCAGCCCTTACTCACTCTGGCTTCTAGTGCAAATACTAACTGTTTGAATGATTAAAAAAAAAAATCACAAGATGAGATTTTAATTTAAGTGGTTTCATATTGGTAGAAGAAGACTAATAGAAACATATTTTCTAGAGGAAATAAAGTTGGACTTAGGACTCAAGGAAATCCCACAGATCAGGTTCCAAGAAAACTTCAAGTTCACATACAAAGATCACAAAGTATAAATTGAAAAACAAGGTATCATAAGAGCAGAAAACAGATCAACAAATATTGTAGGTGTTGATATCATCAGGCAAAGAATAAAAAGAGGATTTTAACGCCGGTAAGGAACAAAAAGATTTAGAAAAGAATAAAATAGACTTCTAGTACTGAAAAAAATCCTAAAACTCAATTGATGGATACAATACCAACCAAAGTTGAAGACAAAAGTAGTCAACTGCAAGACAATCTGAAGAAATTGCCAAAAACAAAACCCAGAGAAACAGAGATGGCATATATAGAAAAGAAGTTAAGACTCATGAAAAGGAAGAAAACTTAATGTCTATCAAATAGGAATTCCAGAAGGGGATAGTAGAGAAAACAGCAAAAGTATAATATTCAAGAAAACAATAAATGAGAAATGTTCAGAATTATGGAAACACGATTCCCAGATTTGCAAAGGCCAGTCCATTTATATACTATATAACTGATATATCTGTATTATCTTCCATATGACTATATTGTCATCCTTTTAATTGTTATTTTTTTAGTTTCCTTTTAAATTTTGGCATAAGCTTTCCCTCTCCCTTTACATTAGGATGTAAAGTTAATTAATTTGTTTAGGTCTCACTTTTTAACCAACAAAAATAAATCTAGAGTTCCTTTAGAGAAGTGTTGCAGAAAATTACAGAGTATCTTTTTTTTTTTTTGAGTTGGAGTCTCACTCTGTTGCCCAGACTGGAGTGCAGTGGCCGCTCCCCGCCACCGCAGCCTCGACCTGCTGGGCTCCGGCGATCCTTCCGCCTCAGCCTTCCAAGTAGCTGGAACTACAGGCGTGAGCTACCATGCCCGGCTAATTTTTGATTTATTGTAGAGATGAGGTCTCACCAAGTTGCCCAGGTGGGTCTCGAACCCGCGGGCTCAGGCAATCCACTCACCTCAGCCTCCCAAAGCACGGGATTACAGACTGAGCTGCCGAGCCCAGCTCCAGAGTAATCTTAATGCTCTATAATTCAGGAGTTTTCCTGAATGAATGACCTTGAGTCACTTAAGTTTGGTTTTAGGAAGTATTTGCTCTAAGGAAATCACAAAGGACCAAGTGGAATTCAAACAAGTTTCTGGGCCTTAATTCCTACTAACCTCCATTTCCTGCCTTAACCACTCTTCTAATTCTGTATTCTTTCGAGCATGATGAGCTATTAAATCTGATCCTCCAATGATGTGTGGAAGTTTTCCTGCTCCAGGATATGTGACCTGTTAAATTAAAAAAAAATAGTAAGGTTGAACATATTAACAAATTAGGATGACCATTTTTAAAAATTTTATTTTTAGAAGTGGAGAGAAATTCCTTTATTTTACCAAGGAAGATGCCCAAGGAAGTCAAGTAACTTGCTCAAAGTGACACAGTTGGATACTGGACTGAAACTAGACCTTTAAGTTTTCCGGTTCTCAGTTTAGTGATTCCTATCTCTTTGAGAATTTGTGACAAAGAGGGAAGACAGAATTGTAAAATGAGCCGCGCTTGGTGGCTCAGCCTGTAATCCCGCGCCTTTGGGAGGCTGAGGAGTGGACTGCCTGAGCCCACGGGTTCGAGACCCGCCTGGGCAGCGAGACCTCATCTCTACAATAAATCAAAAAATCAGCCGGGCGTGGTAGCGCATGCCTGTAATTCCGGCTACTTGGAAGGCTGAGGCAGAAGGATCGCCGGAGCCCAGCAGGTCGAGGCTGCGGTGGCCGGGAGTGGCCACTGCACTCCAGTCTGGGCAACAGAGTGAGACTCTAACTCAAAAAGAAAAAAAAAAGAATTGTAAGATGACCATTTTTAAAAAGCTTAAAAAGCAAAGACTGTAATCATGCATAACTTAAGTACCAAAGATGTTTAAATCCCACAAAGAAAAGTGAGAGGGAGGTTACTCTGTGCTAGACCAATGTGTTTTTGCCCTTATATTTTCCAGCTATTTCTATATTCAGATTTGGACACATCATTAGAATTTATGTACTAAAAAGGATTTAAGATTTTAAATTTGGATTTTTTTTTAATTTTAAAATGGCCTTAGTTAATCATCCAATAATTAAAGCAACTCAAGGCGAACACACATATTTCAAAGTTTAAGCAAGCCCTTTCTAGTACTGATGAAAATTTAAATCCTTTCCAAATTTTCCATTTTATAGATCCTAGTGAGAGATGTTAGAGATGCTGAAAGTTTATTCTTTCAATTGACATTTTAATTATTTATAAAGAGTTGCTAAAAAAAAAAAGAAAATTCTATATTAAAATGCATGTCAAGTACACTGCTGATATTGTATTTAGGGAGTAAGTAATAAATCCTTAATATGTATAAGGAGTGCTCTTAAAATTTCAATATATTAAGTAGAAAGGGAAATGTAAATTAGTTTTCACCATTAAGCAGTATTTGAAAAGCACAAAAAGTGACACATCATTGCTTTGGAGGTTTAAAGAAAAACTCAGGTAAATTCCTGCCATGAGGATATCTAGTTAAACATCTTTCTAGGTACACTTTGGTTTGAATTTCTTCTATAGTTTCAAAACAAATTTCTTGGTTAAGGACACCAATATTTTTAGGGGTTTAAAAGTTTTCCAAACCATTTTCCAGAGGTTTGTACTACTTTATATATCTTCAGTTATTAATACACTTCTATGCCAATAATGAACATTATTGTTTTTACTTTTTTTCATCATTTTAGTCGTTTATTGTATTAATTTGGAAGTAATGCCCTGTGAGTCAGTCTTTAATGACTGAGTCTTAAGAAATTTTATTCCAATCAGCTGGGCGTGGTAGCGCATGCCTGTAATTCCGGCTACTTGGAAGGCTGAGGCGGAAGGATCGCCGGAGCCCAGCAGGTCGAGGCTGCGGTGGCCGGGAGCGGACACTGCACTCCAGTCTGAGCAACAGAGTGAGACTCCAACTCCAAAAAAAATGAAATTTTGTTCCCTAGTGCCTTAAAATATTTAAATTACTCTAATCAGAGAAGTTTCCCATTTCTAATTAATGCCTTCTCACAACAGTCAGATCTAGTAGGTTTTATTGCTTTTTCTTTAGTAACTTAACTGATACAAAAATGTCCTTTGAAGTTTGATTTCTTTAGCAATGAGATTTTATAACAATATTAAACATAAACTACCATGTAGTAAGGATTTGCCCTTGTGCTAGTCAGAGGCCAAAACTATGGGGTGGGAAAAAGTGAAGTTAAACATGAAGGTACCATGGTGTCATGTAAGTGGGAGATATTTCTGTCTTCTGCTCTATGTAGAAGAGATTCTTCATGACCAACACATGGAGTTTAGAACCCTAACTAATTAAACTCAGACAAGTTAATACTAATGCTCACATTAGAGAGACAAAGCTACACTACCTCATAGTCATGGCAAAATCATACAGATCATGTTATAGAGAAAAACAGTTTTCCACAAAAATGTCAGATAGTAGATTAATATTAGAAAGACAGGAAGAACACTGTCATTATAGACAAAAGCCTCATGTTCAAGGTGGAAAAAACCAGGTCAATAGCAAACTATAAAGAGTTCAGTCTTGATGAAATATGTTTCATTCTAGGAGTTCCATGTATTCATTAATTGTCAGTTCATGTCCTTTCTAATCTTTTTAACAGTTTCAAGCAGAAAAAACAGCATCAGTTTCAACATAAACTGCTTATTATTAATTAGCACCAATGGTATTTCTACAAACATTTCAAACACTGCCCTCTTGTGATACAGATAAAGAAATACCTACCTTTTTGAATTTCTTGAAATTCTTTAGGTGACCATAATCATTATTTACACCAGACAAATTTCTGGAAGTAGAGTTTTTAACCACCAGTGATCTAAATTCAGTCAATAACACCTTTCTTGGAAGCATCTCACTATCATTCCAAAGTTCATCATTGTTCTTAAATGGGATTAAGATGGATAGATAAGGAAAAGAAACAACAAAAAGGAAAATTATTTGTTACTTAAAGATCTATAGAAAGAAGTTCAAATACCTGAAAAAACAGTAAAAATGGTTTATTTCCTGTACCCAAAATACTATCTTTGGAATCAAATCATACCTATTTTGAAAACAGAAAATTACTTACTCAAATACTCTATAACTCTAGAAATATTTATAATATACTCATCTGTGATAGAAGACTAAAAACCATACAGTATTTTTAAGGTAGTAGTAGCCTAGTCTAATAAATATCATCTTAATAAACAATTTACCATCCAGTATTTATGTTCTTGACATGAAATCTCAGCACTGTTTGCTTCTCTTCATTAATATTGTACAATGAGATTATTATACATTTTGTTTTATATGTCCTCATCTACTATACTTAAGCTTTCTTGGATTCTCAACAGTTTCTATTTTTAAATTAATTTTTACACCTTAAAGGATCAATCACTAATTCTGAACACACTGCCTCATCAACTGACTAGCTGTTTTTACTTCTAGACTAATAGTTATTAAATTAGCCTGAAGAGTCCTTCCTATTTTTCAACTGCTGGTCAAAACTCTTTGCGTTATGTCATTTACTATTAACTATCTGGCTGACCATCTCAATTCTTCTAACTGCTGAATTACATAAATCATATGGAAGTTACTAACAGGGCTAACATAGAGGTAGTCAGGAAGGAAAAAGAGAGGGAAAAGTCAGAAGAAAAGGTTCATGTGACAATGATAGAAGTAAATAACCAGTCTAAAACATTTAAAGCTTAAAATATTTAACAACCATTTCTCTATTTGACAAAAACAACTACCTTGCTGGAATTGTCAACCTTATTTACTTATTTTGAGTTGGAGTCTCACTGTTGCCCAGGCAGGAGTGAAGTGGCATAATCACTGTTACAGAAGCCTCAACTTGCTGGGCTCTGGCAATTCTTCTGCCTCAGCCTTCGGAGTAGCTGGGACAACAGGTGTGCACAACCATGCCCAGCTACTGTTTTTATTTACTGTAGAGATGAGATCTCACCATGTTGCCCAGGCTGGTCTTGAATTCCTGGGCTCAGGCAATCCTCTAAGCCTTGGCCTCCCAAAGTGCTGGGAGTACAGGTGTAAGCTGCGGTACCCAGTCTTCAACCTTATTTCATAAACAAAGTACTTGAGGTTCATCAATGTAAAAATGCTTCTTCAAGGTCACGTATCTAGGGACCTTAAAGGAGTAGAAGGCAGGGAAATAAATCCTGGCTTCTCTCTGTACTCTTTTTACTATATCATGGTTGTAATGTGATCTATTCATTTCCAGAGGAGACAATCATCAAGTACACCAAAATTATAGAAAGAGAAATAATTAGTCTTAAGAATGTAAAATGACAAAAGTTGATAAAATGATGGTTCTTGTAAGTCAAGTATTTATAAAAATTAAATAAAATAAACAAACATTTCCTCACAGATACTTCCTCTTTAGATGACCATAGTGATTCTTTCTTGTGTCCATATTTCTTCCCAATTTCATTTTCTTGCTAAAGAAATACAATACAAAACTCTGTTAGTAGGAGTTATAAAATAGTACCTTTCTATCACTTCATGGCCTTTTTGCTAAGAACAATTATAATATGGTACCTTGCTACAAACTTTAAAGAGATATTCATGCTCTAACCCTGCCATTTGACTTTCAAGTATCTTTCCTAAAGCAATTATGAGATGAAAATAAAAATATACGTAGAGATACTGTAGTATGAGCAAAAAATTGGAAGCAAACTAACTTCATATAAATTACATGCTTAGATAATATTTAAGAATATGGGAAAGTGATCCTAAAATAAATTAATTAATTCAAAGTCTACAAAATAAGATTTAAAATAATATACCAAAATATTAACTATGGTTCTCAGCAGATGGTATGATTATCAACACGTCAGTTTGTTCTGAAAATTTCTATATTATCATGTATTACCTTAACAATAAAAAAGAAAAAAACATTTTAAAAGAATTCTATTTACATTTAGAATAGAATCTTAAATCATGCTTAAACAAAGAAAGGAGTTACTTCAACTGTTCAAGATACTTGTCTGCAATAAAAGTGGAGACTGGGCTGGGCACAGTGACTCAAGTCTGTAACTTCAGCACTTTGGGAGGCTGAGAAGGGAGGATAGCTTGAGCCCAGGAGTTCAATATCAGCCTGGGTAACATAGTAAGATCTCATCTCTACAAAAAAATAAATAAATAATAAAATTAGCTGGATGTGGTGACATGCACCTGCAGTCCCAGTTACTCAGGAGGTAGAGACTGGAGGATCACTTGAGTATTGGAGGTCAAGGTTATAACAAGCAGGGATAGTGCCAGTGCACTCCAGTCTGGGCAACAAAGTAGGATCCTGTCTCAAAAAAAAAAAAAGAAAAAGAGGGGAGGACTGCCTTGTATAGCCAGTATATTTTTACATTAACATATCCAGACCATGTTTAAGACAAAACCATATTGCATAACTGCTTTCTATTACTTTTAGTAAAAACTACAATCTTCTTGGATACAATAGGATGTATATTATTTTTCATCAAATTTCCAATGATATAACCATAAAAATCCATAAAAATTTTTAAAAGGAGGTTGAAAATAAAGAGGAAAAAACCACTGTGTTGCTTAGAGAATAAAGAGAATCCGTGTTTTTATTTATCAATAGTTAAGATAAACATATATATCCTCGGCCTACCATGTGTCCTTCTACTTAAGCTGAGTACTGTACATCATTTACTAGAACTTCTTACCACAGTCAGAACATTCCCTATATACACATCAGCACATAAACGTCTTTTACATACCTTCTCCCCATCCTACCCTACTCCCTCAGACTTGTTCATCTTCTTGAGCAAGTTTTAATTTCCCAACTCAGAGAATCATATTACAACCTAACCAGACACTCACACTATAAGCTTGGGAATTATCCTATATTCTTTCCTATTTACTTATTTCCCATCTAGTCAATCACCAAGTCTTGGGGATTCTGCCCCAGGGTCAGACTTCTCCTCTTACATTGCTTTTTACCTTAGCATGCCCAATGCCCAGAAAAATTGAATAAAGACATAGATAAATGAACAAATGACATAAATAAATGAATGAATGACATTCTGAGACAGCTGACAAAGGGAATGGCAAAAAGAGCAAGGTAGATCTGTGTTTCACTCCCAGTTGTCAAAACCTAGCTATGTTACCATGGCAAGTTACTTAACAACTTCCATTGTCAGTTTCTGCATGTGTTCAATGGGTATGACACAAGCAACTTCATTACAGGGTTACTGTAAATATAATGATAGTATCCAATAAGTGCTATTACTACTGAGTACTGGAAAATACTACAGTTTTAAGAGAGAAGGAAACCTTAATTTGGGATAGGAAGCTAGAATGACGTGAGAAGGAAATATACTACAGACTTAGTGGGTGCTGTTATGGAGAATTTAACTGGATCTCGAGTGATATTTGCATTTTACAGAGACCGAGAATTCGAAAGGCTAATACTCAGACACAGCTATCATTTATATAAGGATAAACTCCTAGCAAGATAGACAGCCAACAGTTTTTCACTTCGGTTTACAGGAAATCTTACAGACATGCTATAATCTATATTTAGAATCAGAAATAGAAAAATGACAAAAATAGAAAAATGGTGATTCTACCATTAACATATTTTGGGAATTGACTTTCTAAAATATAGCTAAGGAATCCAACACCAAAAAGAAGTATCACCTTTTCTGCATGCTTAAAACTACAAAAAAAAAATTTTTTTAAGATTAAGACTTTTTTTTTTGGATAATCACTTCTGTAACTAGAAAAATTAAGTGCAATTTCTTTACTCTGTAAGTATTCAAAAGGACTTTCGGATAAATTCCTAAAATAGTAAAAATGAAATAATTAAAAACAATCTCACAATGAGTAAGGTTGATGAATTTTATCAATGTAATTTCCTGGTTGTAATATGGTACTATAGTTATGCAAACTGTTACAATCAGGAGAAACTGAGAGAAGGTTATACAGGATCTCTCTATCACTTTTTAAAACTGCATGTGAATAAACAATTATCTTAAAAAGTTTTTAAAATTATCTTATACTAAAAGCAAAAATACATTTGTAACTAGTTTCTTACTAAATAAATTACAGTGCTGAAATATTTAACTTTAAGTGCAGTCATCCTTCTGTATCCCTAAAGATTGGCTCCATGACCTCCCTTAGATACCAAAGTCCATGGATGTTCAAGTCTCTGACATAAAACACCAAGATATTTGCATATAACCTAGGCACATCATCCTGTATACTTTAAATTATCTCCAAATTATTTATAATACCTAATACAATATAAAAGGTATATAAATAGTTGTTATAGTATACAACAATAACAGGAAAAAGTATGTACATGTTCAGTACAGGTATTTTTTTTCCAAATATTTTCAATCCATGGGTGGTAGAATCTAATGATGCAGAATCCACTGGAATGGAGGGCCAATCGTATACGCTAAAGTGCATGTAATAACCAAACTGCTATTCACTCTCCAAAAGCCTACTATAACATATTTTGTACTGTATTTTTCATTTAGAATGTCAGGAATTCTGAAATGGTAAAGTAAAAGGGGGATTATGCTATAGAATCACAGAGTAAAATAAAATAATTATATTTCCTGATATTATATATCATGTAAACCTTAGAAATTAAACAAAAGGTCTTTTCTGGTTCATGAAAAACTGTTTAATGGTTCTCATAAGGTAGCCTGGTGCTCAGCTCTTGTCTTCCTCTGCGCTTTAGTGCCCAATGCCCTGGGAGAATGTGAAGTGAAAAGAGGTATTTAGGAAGATTAATTAGCAGCCATACAAGATGAACCAAATAGTTGTGTGACTAACTAAAACCACAACCATTTCTAGACAGATATGTGGCCACTGTGAGCAGCAGACCAATCTGGCATAGAATTTAAGGTAAAGAAAGACTACTTAAAAATGTATACATAAATATTAAAATATGTAATAGGAGAAGACTAGAGACAGACAATAAGAACATATCAGAAAAAAACCAAAAAACAAAAAAATATGAGCGGAAAGGGCACCATAAGGGAAATGCATTTCCAAAGGTTCAGTCAAAGTAATATATAAATAGGGCTTAACTTTCTAAAGACTGAACATGTGTATGTAATATTATTAAGCACAGATTCTGGAACAGTCTGGAGCTAAAGTGACAATGTAAATTCATGATGCAAGTAGAGTAAACATAGTATTATAAAGAGATGTATATTTACTAAAGTTAGCAAACCATTCCTTAGACTTCAATAAATGTCCCATTAAACTAACATATTTAGCTCTCCAATATAGTAGAATTGCTACAAAAGTGACTTATAGGATAGATAAACCTCTTGGTTCACTTAATTCTTCTTTAAAATGACAGTCAGTCTTAGATCCTGAATAATAAAGAACACTGTCTCTGAAGTCCCCACTCTGGCTGCTAAATGGAATCAGACATCTCAATATCCATTCTCCCCTTCCTTACTAATACAACTCTGTCAGGGACAGCAATGTGCCAAGCTTAAAATATTTCCCAGACTCTTGCTGATTGAGGGTGAATAATAGAAAGTGGCTAAACTATGTCCAATTCTGGCCAATACAAAAGCTATTAAGTCGGGTTTCTGAGGAAGCTCCTTGGAAAATGGGGAGAAATTTAGCTGGAAGTGTCAGGAATTCTGAAACAATAAAATAAGGAAAAGGGAAATTATGCTATAGAATCACAGAGTAAAATAAAATAATTATATTTCCTGGTATTATATATCATGCAAACCTAAGAAATTAAGTAAAAAGTCTTTTCTGGTCCATGAAAAACTATTTAATGTTTCTCAAGTTAAGGATGCCTGGTGCTCAACCTTCACCCTGTCTCCTCCCCACCATGCTCTTCTTCCCTAGAAAGTAGACTTGATGGCTGCAGATACCCTCTCAAAGAAGAGAAAGACAGATGCCTAGAAAATTAATAATATGGAGAGCAGCTTTGTCTACTTCCTGGCTTCTTTTATAGGAAAAAAAATATCCTATCGCCGGGCTCGGTGGCTTAGCCTGTAATCCCGCGCCTTTGGGAGGCTGAGGTGAGTGGATTGCCTGAGCCCGCGGGTTCGAGACCCACCTGGGCAGCGAGACCTCATCTCTGCAATAAATCAAAAAATCAGCCGGGCGTGGTAGCGCATGCCTGTAATTCCAGCTACTTGGAAGGCTGAGGCGGAAGGATCGCCGGAGCCCCAGCA